GGGGGGGGGGGGGGGGGGGGGGAGCAATTTCATCCTAAATGTCTTGAGCCTCTCAACCAAGCAAGTTTACTTCTCTTTAATTTGGTAAACCTCATAAAGAATTGTTAATAGTGCAGCCGGAAATTTTTCCAGAACTAGGAGCAAAACTGAGATGCCGCGTCATTAATTTTTAATAAAACTATTTTCTTTCCCATGCATGGGAGGACTTGGAATCCTCATTTCACTACTATATCAGTTATTTAACGCAATCGGTCTAGGTTCTGGCTCCTGACTCTTGAACGACGGCCAAAGTGCGAAACCTCGTATGTCCATTGGTGACGTTGCAGACTTCCTGTCATGCTTTGTTTTTCGTCGGCAAACGAGTCAACATAATTTCCTGAAAACTTCCTTGAGTTCCCTCCCTCTTAGCACAATATTTTATGTACATTTCAAACCATAAATTTGGCTCGCCTCTTAAAAAAACTGAAAATTTTTTTGAAATTTGGAAAAATTTAAAAAACTTTTATAAAATTTAAAATTTTGAAATATCGCAATGGAGATACGTGGGTTCGCACTTTATCCATAGATATGCACGAAAAGACAATTGAAAGCTCGCATTCGGAACATGTTCTTTTATTGTTATTGAATTTTTTTTAAGTGACAAGATTTTTTCTATCTTCTTTTAATGAGCTTTTAAACCTGAATTTTTAAACTCACAGTCAGTGGTAATATTTTGCGAATTGCTCAAAACTAAAAAGTAAAGAAGTTGCTTTTGAGGGAAGATTTGTAAGTAAGCTCTTATTGAAAGGAGCCGTCTCCCACAGATAGAGTAAAATCAGCTGATACGAAAAAACGAAGTCTCAGCTCTGTTAGCCATTGCTTGATTACACGCAAAACTGGGTGACATCACGCGATGCGCAGACGTGTTTAGTGATAAATGCGAAGTCTCTGAGAGATACTATATCTGGTTCATCGTTCGCAAAAATTTAAGCTGCTGCGTGAATTTGCAAGCGGCACGCAAAGTGGATTGAAATAGTTCTGAAAAGCCATTTTCGCTGCAGTGGCGTGGCGTGCTTTGCGATGTATTGAATGATCTGTCATTTGAACCTATAGAAAAGGATCGATAAACAGGGTGTTCGTAGCGAATACCTTAATAATCGATTCTTTACCATAGGTTTAAATTACATATCAATCGATGTATCGCAATTCACGCCACGCCACTGTTTCGCTGTGCAGTCACCAGGCTTGTTCTATACGTCATTCGAAATGAGAGTGCTTTCTAGAACGAGCTCAACACGATTTTTGACGATTCCACTCCGTCCCATGACCTTTAAAATACGTAGGTTTTTTTACACCTTAGGTCCTGGTTTTCCGAGTTCTCGTGCTTCTCCAGTAAAAGTGATCGGAAAAATGGAACCGTGGCTCTTTCGCAACACTCATAATTGATTTCAGACCCGACCGAAATCTCTAGTTTGAGCCACATTGTTACTTTTAGGATGGTCATTATTAGAATTCCGATAAAAATGAAACACCGACCAAAACAATAGTGCCATCGCAAAAGTAACATTCCCTGACAGGAAATTGTAATCGAAGTCTAAAGGCAAGTGTCCGCAAGTGGATTTGGTCGGCTTTTTAAACCAAATCAATTGGGTTGCAAACAAATGAGAAAAACGCTTTGCTGAAGTTCAGAACTAGACTCAGTTGCTTGATAAATTTTTGAAAACGTTTACATCCATCCACTTTTCACCCTACCTCCTTGGTAAAAATCGGCAGTAGAATCTGTGTTCCAAAATACCATAGACCCACAGCCGGCTGTAAGATTTCCAATAGCTTCTATAGCCGGCTACACCATTTCTTATAGCCTTTTATCGCTGATGGCGATTAAGCAACAGCCAGGCGATAAAGTGTATGCTAAACGTTACTAATTACGGATGCTAGGACTTAGTGAGTTTTTGGAATACTGCTCTCTTTTTGGGCCGTATTATCTTGATTTATTTTGCGAGGAAAGCTCCGTACTTTTGATGGATGCCTGCCATTGCTAATATATTAGAGCGCCTTCAGTTTCGTATGATACTGTGCAATACCTATGGTGCGAAATAGTTGCTTCAAGCGCCGTGGCAGGCGGGCAGCTAGCGCGAAACACGCATTGGCGCCTACAAACCTAACAGGGATACTTCACGCTTTGCGCAATGCATGAAGTATCTCTGTTAGGTTTGTAGGCGCCAGTGCGTCGCCGCTCCGCTTTGTGTTATCTGGCGGAGTCAGTGTTATTCAACTCATGATTTTGAAATGTTTGCACATCCTTTATGGATTATTCTCATTTTAATTGATGAAAAAAAATGTGTATTAAAGGAAAATATAATGCGTGTTTTGTAAATATTAAGGTGGTTCCGTATCAAACTTAATGATTTCCAAAGCACACGAATTTCTACACAATTTCTTATAGCCTTTTATAATCGATGGCGAAAAAGCAACAGCCAGGCGATAAAGTGTAAAGCCCGGCGATAGGAACTATAGCCCGGCTGCGAGGTGGGTTAAGAGTTTTGGATGTAGTCGTCATTGTAGTGCCAACATGGAAACCATATGTTGTAGCAAGTACCAAACTTGAGACTTTGAAACTTTAGAGATGTCACATTCGGACCGCGTCATGCAGAAAGGAACAAAGCCACGTCAGCTATTGCCAAATGTAATTAGGCAATCAATTTTTTTACATGAGAACGGTTGAGCGGATTTTTGTTGCAGATTTTAGAAAATTTTCTGCCGAGTGCGAAGCAAATTCCTTAAAATTTTCGACGAAAATCCGCACAACCGTTTTCTTGGAAAAAATTGAATTACTCAGTTAAAGTTGGCAATAGCTGATGTGGCTTGGTTCCTTTCTGTTAAACACGGTACATTTGTTTTACTTATAAGAATCTCTCAAATCTGTTCGGAGGGATCCGGTAGATTTCTGGAGGAGGGAGCTCACCCCTTCTCCACCCACCCTTAGTTCCGCTCATGGTTACGACAAGTCAGAGTCTGAAAGGTAAAAGTTTTCACGGCGCTGGTGAAAAGATACACTAAAAAAAAACTCCGGCCGTGGGAGCCGCAGTAACGGGCTATATAGACATACCGTCTGTTCCGGGCTCAGAGGCCGACAATTCCGGCTGCTGTAGGCGTAGCTTCGATTGCTCCGGGTTTAGAGGCCGAAGCTACGGCTCCAGCAGCCGGAATTTTCGGCCCTTGAGACGGTATGTCTATATAGCCCGTAATTGTGGCTCTCACGGCCAGAGTTTTTTTTTCAGTGATACTAATGATGGGGCTTTCTTTATCCCTGGTTTTTACCAAGAAATTTCTGACAAGACGTGCGCGATTTTGAACTCTCATCGATTTTTTCCCCACAGCAAAACACGATGCGGAAACTTGTGAACTGGAGTCGACCCCAATCCGCGGAGGCCTCAACTATTGGGATCGGGCGTAACAGCAAACTGGCCGCCAACTTTCGTCAGAGTGTCGCATGTCTCGACGAGCACGGTGAGCACCCTGTCAAGTGTCATGACGCGCAGCTTTGGCTGCTCCAACAAGCTGCTTTTTCAAGTTTCAAGTATGAGCGCAGGAACTTTTTAGGATATCGACGGCGAAACTGCAAAAATGCGTATCTCCGCTGGGGTGTTTTGAAATTCCCGCTACTACTTTATTTTTTAAAAGGACATCGAACCAATACCATGGCTTGAAGTATTCACAGAATATTTTTCATTAGAAAAGAAAAAATCACTGAAATTTTAAAAAAATGACGTTCAGTAGTTTACCCGGCCCTGTAGAAACTGAAGTATAACAGGAAGTCTGCAACACCGTAAACCGAGATAAACAGTTCTGCAGTTTTACGATTGATATATTGTCATCCGTCTAAAAAGTATATCACAAGCGCCATTTTGCTGGAATTCAGTCATTGGTCGTTTTGCATTTCTCAGATATTTTAACGAACAAAAATTCTAGTTTTTTGTCGAATTATATGTATGATGTGCTTTAAAAAAAAAAAAAAAACAAGTCTAGGAAAGTGCGTGTCACAAGCGCCATGGTTGGGTGGAGAGTCAAAAGCGCCAAGTTTAGCATTGTGCTGTGCTGTGAAAAAACGCCGTATGAACATTCGAATGTTACCGAAATTTCCCCTGATAAAAAATATACATTGGGAAAAAATCATACACTGTTTTTTTGTTCTTGAAACTTTCAGCTATTTTAGAGTAAATTGCAAACAAAATTGTTTGAAAAATTGGAAGAAAAACATAAACAAATTTCCCAATAAATTCGTTTCTTATCAAAGGAAATTTGGCAACGCTTGAAGGTTCAAACAATGTTTTTCTGCAGCACTGCAGCATGGTTGTAAGCATTTTGATGGTTTCTTTTACTTTTTTGGTTGTGTTTAGCCATTTGAGTGGAGAGAAAAGCACAAGTTAAGAACGCTGAGAAACATGCATCATACCTACATCCGCTCTGTACATAAAGAATCATCTGAAAACACAGTATCGTTACCGCTAATCGGAGATAGGGAAGGGGGGGGATTGAAGTGGGTAGAAAAATATATTAACGTTTCCCAACAAGACATTGAAAAAAATGCATCAAGCTGAATCCATTCAAGAGTTCTACTCCTAAGCGGCGGTCGATTCGCCTTCATCGAGTAGTGTAGGCAACACGAGTTCCCTCGAGCTTGAATAGTGGTATATTGCGCCTGATAGTGTTTCACACGTTTAGAATAAGGAGGAACTGTCCAAGGAGGAGCTGAATGAGAGAAAAGAGATCTGTTCTCTTTCTTTTTATCATCATTTAGACTGAATTTTGTCATAAAATTACACTACATCCAGTTCATCCATTCAATGAACATAAGTGCACCTAGTTGCAAGGGAAATCTAATGGCTACTATTGTGTCACTTTTTAGATGAGTTAAGAATGGACCGCGTTTAGCAGAAAGGAACCAAGCCCATCACCTTTTTCCAAATTTAAGTGAGCAATTTAATTTTTTACAAGAGAGCGTTTGTGCAGATTCCTTGGAAAATTTTAAGAAATTTCCCTCGCACTATGCAGAAAATTCACTGAAATGTGCTCAACAATCTGCCCAACCGTTTCCATTTAAACAATTAAATTGCCCAATTAAATTTTGCAATAGCTGATGTGACCTGGTTCCTTTCTGCTTAACGCGGTCCGAATAGTAGTGCCTTATATTCCTGAGCAAAGGCGGACTGGCTCCTCGAGACGGTGCACAGAGACGCTTGAAAGACATTACGGAGGGAGCTCTCTGAGGGTTCTGCTCCTGAGGGCGAAGGACCCACCGAGATATGTCCTAGAGCCCTGATAGGCCACTCCAGTCTACCCTCGTATTTAAGTCATCAACTTTAATATCAGTCAGATATGCACACTGAAAAAAAAATCTCGATGTTTTTGTTAAGAAATGGGTAAAATTACTAAGAATTCAGGGTTCTATTAGATTCCAGTTTTTTCTTGGTAAAATTACCATTTATGGAATAGGTAATTTTACCGAGAAATCTCGGTAAAATTATTGACTTTCTCGGTAATTTTACTGGACCCCGGTAAAACGCCAATATTTTTTATCGACTCTGGTAGAATTACCGAGATAAAATGGCAAAGTTACCGGGAATTGATTACCAATAAAAGTGGTATTCTTACCTGAAAAAAACAGTAGAAATACCGGTTTTTGGGTAAGCTTACCAGTCTTGTCTTTGTAAAATTACCAATAATTGGTAAAAAAAGTGAGATGGTAAAGGTACCAACGGACCGTGGTAAAAACGCCGAGAATTCTTTTCAGTGCTGATTGGCCACTTTAGTCTACCCTCGTATTTGAAGTCATCAACTTTAATGTTAGTCAGATATGCAGTGTCTCAGTGGAGCTTTAATACGTGACTTAACATTTTTCCAGATTTCGGGCTGTACTCCGGTTCGAACCACCTCTCAAGCGATTCCGACAGCGACCTGGTGTCGGCCTACAACCGCCGAAAGCCGTGCGGAGGGGCAGGCCCGAGTGGTGGCGGCGACACCCGCAACAACCCCTCCTTCTCCAACCGGGGCCTCCACACGGCGACCGACCCCAACCGCGGCCACCACCCGGACCCCGCCATGGACGTCGTCAACATCTCCGACGAGGAGAACCTCGACGACATCGTCGCTCTCAAGTTCCAGCGCTGGTTCCCGAGCTCCCGCACCGACAAGGCCTCCATGATCCTCGAACGGAAAGAAACCACGACCGACTCCAACGGCACCGTCTATCACGCCAGCAAGTTCGAGCTCCGAAACTATTCCAACACCGAATCCGTTGTCAACGTCCTCAACGACATCGACGACGAGGAACTTCTTCGGGACGATGAGCCGCCCCGGCCCAAGAGCTCCAAAGAACGCATTCCGCAAGAACACGACGTCGCCAAGAGATCCTGCACCTCTCGCCAAGAATCTAGGACCATAAGTAGTATACGAGAATCCGAAAGTTATCACAATGGTTTGGAGAACCGAACTCTGGATCGACAAAACCAGCCCGTTGAAAATCAGAAGAACGGACTGCGCAGTCCTTATCCATCCCTGAGCAAAAACGATAGTAACAATAACGCGAAACAGTCCGGGGAAAGCTACGGAAGTTACAGCCTTCTCAACCCCGTCGCGGCGAAGTATCCGAACAAGATGAATTATGAAAGTGTATCGGAGTTGATCGACGGCACGCTGCATAAGATCGGTTTCTATTCGCCACCGCAAGCGAGTAAAACGGAGAACCCTTCGTCTCGACCTCAAACTGGGAACGGTCAAGAAGATAAATCGCCGAAGAATCATTTTTCTTCGACGTCGTCGTTTTTGTTCAACGCGGCCAACTCGAAGAGGTTCGATAGCTTCCCCGAGGTCGCGGATAAGTTCGACAAAGACGCGTGCCAAAGCTCGAATGTCAGCTCTTGCGGAACCGATAAGGTGATGTCGAGCAGCGGGTATTCGACGGGTAAAACGTCGTCCGATGTGTACTCCCAACCCAGCAACAGTAAAACAGATTCGCCCGTCCCAAATTGCACCCAAAATGAGCTCGATTTGACCGGAAAAACGGAGAGTGATCAAATGGAACAATCGGCCAGTTTTCGCACGACGCAAGTCAAGCAAGATCGGGTTTTGGAAGCTAGGAGTGCAGCTTTACGGGAAGCCGAGCGGAAAATTTCGGAAAGTAAATGTGCGGAGGATAAATATATCCCCACCGTTTACCCTATTCAATATAGCACCAAAGTTCAAACTTTATCGACGGTTGTGATAAACGGAGGACCGATCAGGACCACCAGCAAGGAACTCAGAGAAAACGGCACTTCCTTTGAGCCGGAGCATAAGGTGAGGTTCGAAACGGACGATCGTGATAAAAATCCGGAGAGTAGATCCTCATCCTTCCCGAGCGACTCGGTAAAACTTGGTACAAATATACAAAACATTCTCTCGAATGAGAAGATAGAGGAAGTGACAAAATTTGTGATCGACGGGCATTATAGCAACGAAATATTCTATTCTGTCAACCGGCAGATAGACCCCTTGAAAAAGTTCGACTCGGCTGAGGAGAGTCGCCACGTATGCATGTCTTCCGAATTGCCTACTCATCGATTTGAAGGGGAGGGTCCGCGGCAGAGACCTGCGACCTCCGGCGTGTCCGATTTCAACACGTGGACCTCGACTAGAATCGAATCCGAGGGGATGATAGATAAAACTCGAGACCAATCCAATTCGACCAACTCGAGGGTCGGTTCTTCAAAACCCCAAGACGACGTCAAAAAAAGTCTGCCGTACATGGAGCTGATGGATGTGATAAAAGCCATAGAAGAGGACGAAAAGGAGACCTCCAAGTATGGTGCAGGCGACAACGCGACCACCAGTAAAAAATCAAGTTCCTCCGACATTTGGACTCTGTTGGACGAGATCGACGGGAAGACTTTTGACAAGGGAGCCGTCGACCACTCGACGCCGAAATCGGGGACCAAACCGCGACCGACCCGGATGAACGACTTGATTTGTCTGAGTAACGCGGAGCTGGCGCAGAAAGTGATGACGTTGTCGCTGCAGGTCGAGGACATGGAAGTCACCCTCGAGACTTCGGCGAAGAGGCTGAGAGACATGCAGCAGTCGCTGAAGAAACAGAAGGAGGAGAGCGAGGCGGCTATCAAGCGGCACCAGAAGTTCATCGACCAGCTCTTGAAGGAGAAGCTGACTCTGACGAACCAGTGCACGAAGATCATCGGCGAGATGGAGAAGCAATACGACGTGACGCTGAAGAATCTCGAGGGGAAGTACAAAGTGGAGATGAAGAAGCAGGAGGAGCGGCATCTGGCGGCGGAGAAGCTGAGGAAGGATAAGTGGATTGACGCGAAGACGCAGAGGATCAAGGATATGACCGTGAAGAGCCTCGAGCCGGAGTTGAATCGGATGGCCAATCAGCATCAAGAGGAGCTGGCCGAGATGAAGAAGATCTACCAGAAGCAGCTCGAGCAGCAGGAGGAGATGTGCAATCGGAGAATGAACGCTCTTAGAGAGAAGATGGAGACTGAAAAGGAGAACGCGTTGACGTTGGAGAAAGAAGCCGCTAGGAACAAGTAAGGCACTGCATACTTATCGTTCCGTTTTATGAATTGGATATCGCATCTAGCAAGAAGAAACTACTATTTCTGGCTTATTTTAAAAATAACATGTAAGCCATTGGTTTCCTTATGTTGAAAGGTGCTTTTATGGAAGAGCCAGAGATAGTGCGGTTCCTTCTTGCAAAATGTGATCCAATTAATAGCCCCTCAGCACATTGAGGTGATTCGTCTTAGCTTTTGGGCGTGCCGATATATTGCATGTTCACTGGCGTGTGTGATGTATCCAGGGGCGCCATTTTAGGTTTTTACAGGGCTGGGAAAAAATACGAAGGTTTTTCTCTTTTTTTTTTTTTGTTTGCCTTTTAGTGAAGTGGTTAGTAGCGGCGGTCGCGTATTCGGCCGAAATCATCGGAATTTTCACGCCTTTCCTCCCCGTCATTCCGAGCGGTTTCCATGGGCCTGACTCCCAAACGCTACCCTTCTATCCAAATGACGCCCCTAGATGTATCACATCGATTAAGGAATACATCTTGGCAAATTTTGACATTTTTACAAAAAAAGAAAAAAAAGAAAAAAAAAAACGACGACAGCCTTGCGCATAAGTCTAAACGGTCATTTGCAACGAAAAAATTGAAAACTGCCAAAAAAGAATGTTGAATTCAATCAATCTCCATGTCGAATGCGACGTTTTTTGCCCCAGGAAAATACTGCTTCAATCCGTCCAAAATCTGCAATTTTTTCGGTGAGAATGACTCTTTAAGCTTATCCGCAGGGGCTCTTCTGTCATTTTTTGGCCACGAAATCAAAACTGGCCGAGACTTTCTACTTACACTTTAATACTAAATGAATTAGCATGAAAATGAAAGTTTCTCCGAGATCTTTCTCTCCAAAATAATATAGTGCAATATTTCTGGAATATCTTCAGAAAAATATTGAGCAAGATTGCATCTGCCCTTGAAAATATATCAGAACATTATGACAATACGTCATTCTCTGCACAAAGGAACGTAATTTATTCAATTTGGCAGCACTGAAATGTAGTTACGTTCTTTCGTAAGGGAAACGATGAATAGTAGAGTAGTAGTAGAGTAGTATATTAAAATGCTAGAACGTAGAATGATTGAGATAATTGATAAAAAGCCTGCTAATAGTATAATCGTTTCTAGTTTTTTTTTAAACGAAATTTCTGTTTTTCGGGTGTTGCAGGCTGGAGAATGAGCTGCAAGAACTGGAGAGAAGATATCAAGATCAGCGGAAAAAGTTGATTGCGGATTTGCACGCTGAGCGAGAATCGATGGAAAGAGAAAAAGACTCCGTGCTCCTAGAGAGGGAAAGGGAACTTGAAAGAAGGTTCGCGCAAAGGGAGAAGGAGCTCGAGAAATCATGGACTGAAAAAGAAAAACTTGCCACGGAAAAACTAGCGGCTATCGAAGCAAATTATAAGGTAAGAGGCAATAAAATCAGGGTGCCGATCCCGAAAAGTTATAACCCGCAGAAAAGATGGAAGTAAAACTAATTTCTGGAAACACGAGATCAATGTTTTTCATTCATAATCCTGGAATTTAGACATCAAACTAATAACATTTCAATGGCCAAAGTGCGGAATCCCGTCCCTCTATTAAGGTATTTAAAAATGTCTGCTCCTATTTTATTTTTTTGAGAAGAAATAAGTCATCTTCATAGCTACGAATTTTTACAGAATATTCTGCTGAGAGAGACGAAAAATTAAGAAAGAATCCAAGAAATTACACTTCCCCAAAGCAACAATGAAGTAAATCTGCAACGTCGCAGACGGAGCACGGAGGATACGAGGTTTCGAACTTTGACCATCGATTTAGACGTTGTTTGAAATATTCCCTAAACAATTAAAGATATGATACGAAGATAACAGCGACACCTCGCTGTATTCTTTCTTGCAGGTTTGCTTGCTTTCTTTACCTTGCGTTTGAGCTCCCAATCCAGCAGCCAATTCTTAAAACAATTACCATTGTGAAAGAGGGTGGGTTCAGCCTAACCTATAGACTGTTCGCTAATTTCTTCCTATGAACGCCGTCAGGGGGCTACACAAGTCTCGACTTTTCTTTTTTTTAAAAAAAAAAAAAACACGATAAAAATTGCGTGTGTTTTCTTCCCTCTTCCTTCATTTGTTTGGTGACACTAACCCTTAAATGTCCAATACTTTTTTCATACGTACAGTCCTAAGTTGGGGTCAAATTTACCCGTTGTTTTATACATCGATTTTGATAGATTTAGAAGTTTTTTCAATGCTATTTCTACGATTTTGAAGGTTAGATATTCTTTTGGTCATTTTGGTAACATACTGAAGCTTCTCCTCTCATCTGACATATGTAACTCTCTCAGAAAAAATAGTCGGAAAGGTATTCCTGAGAGTGATTATCAACGAAAAATTCCTTCACTCGATATAACTCTCACCAAAATACCAAATTTTAGACATGAGCCCTTGGCAGCTCCCGAGAGATCTTTATCATTTTTTTTTTTTTTTTCAAAATGATTTTTTATTTGGACACATTATAGCATAGTTTGGGCAAACTTAACCACAAACTTTCTCAAATTTCAAAGAAAGAGACGCCTCAGCGTGCGTAGATGACCGAGATACAACTATTCGTTCCTGATGGATATCTTCATTGCCTTTTGCAAAATTGAAGAAGTGATGCCGTGAGGCGAGAATTCGCAATACTCCAATCGATGTTGCCAGTTAGATGTCATTTAGCTTCAAGAGAAAAGTTAAAAAATACTTGCTATTGAGCAAGTATAACCCTTGAAGCACTACTGGAAAAAAAAAGACAAACGGAACCAACACCATATGGAAACATAGCAAAGGAAATGACGCATGTTTACGAAGGCGCAGAGATACAACTATTCGTGCTTGATGGATGTCTGTGTTGCATCTGAAAAATTGAAGGCGCGATGGCGTCGAGGCGTGAGATCGTAATGCTCCGCTCTATGCTGGTATTGAGGTGTCGCTTGGGTTCGGGAGAAAAGTTAAACACTATATCTTCGGGTGTGTCACTCACGTAGCCCTTGAAGTACTTTCACAAATAAGACGAACAGAAATAAACACGATTTCGACGGTGAAACCTAAAATCTCCTTCGCTATGTTTTAAAATCTCCGATCCCACTTTATTTTTATGATGGAGAAAAAGTCGTCACCATTTCATGAAGTTTTCGCATTATTTTATCAGCATGAAAAAAGAACAAATTTTGAAGATGAAGAAGTAATTTTCCATTTGAAAGATGAAGTATAGCAGGAAGTTTGCAACGTTGCAAACCGAGAGACTTAGTTTGTGAGTTTCACCTCGGTATAATTCTTTCAAATTGAATTCTGAAATTCTTCTTTGCTGTGAATTTTGTATCAGTTGCCCATTTAGAGAGCGATTTAAAATTTTTTTCATTTTCAATTTTCTTCATTTTCTCTGGAGGATAATTGAGCAACCTTTACCCCATAGCTGTTGAGGCATTTTCCTTGTCCTAAAAATATATTATTCCAACTTAACATGTTGAAGTTGAACATCGTAGGTATTCCATTTCGTTTGCAAAAATTAAACGTTTAATTGCGATGGAAAGAGACAATTCCTTGAATTTTCCCGTGATGTTGTTCCTTTTTTTTGTGGCACCAATTTTTTGTTAATTTTTTAGTGCGAAATTAAGAGGATAAAGGCTGCTGCGGATGAAGAGAAAGAAAGGTGGCGAGAGGTTGAATTAGCTAAATTAAATGAAAAAGAGAAACTAATGAGAGAGCAATGCAAGAGAGAAAGAGACCGGCATATAGAATCAGTGATCGAAAAACTTGAACGGGAAACCAGCGAAAAAGAACAGGCCATCGAAAACAAATTAAAGTAAGTTGGAAAGATTTTATTTCATATTGTTTTTTTAATATTAGCTTAGCATACTTTTGGGAGATATGTAAGAGAAACTGGGGAGGAGTAGTAGGGGTAGAAGAAGAAGAGGCAGGAGAAGGAGAAAGAGGGAGGGAGAGAAGGAAAGCAGAGAGAGGCGAGGGTCATTGCTGAGGTGGGTATGAAACAACTCGTGTTTATCTCATTCATCCGAGTGAAATTCAAAGCGCCTTCAAAAAGACCCGATAGGCAGCAAAAAATCATAGGAGCTGATATAGTTGCCTTGTCCATTAAATTTAGATATTTCGTCATTCTGGTATCTTGTTGGAACAAAACCATCGTAAAAGATATTCCAGCTTGAATATTTTTTTTTATCTCTCGTATATTTCTGATTATAATGAGTGGTGAGTTTCATTCCATCGTCATCCTATCCTGCAATCGGAAATTTCTGATATGTTCAACTGTTCAAGTTGCTCATGAACTTTCAATGAGGAAATAAGCTTCATGATGCTTTAATTCTTACCTCGGCTAGTGATATATCCATTCCAACTTTCGCTCACAGTCCAAATTTGTAACATTTCAATGAGACGGGGAGGGGAGGGGAGGGGTTAGATTTTAGATAATTTTGTTTCGTTAATCTATTTTTTCCTGTTTCAGACGTTTGAAGGAGCAACTCGAAAGAGAGAGCGAAGAACACGAGCAAACGACCGATACTTTGCGGAAAAAACTCACCGAGACCAGGAATGAGACTCGTGATAAAGAAGAGCAACTTTCCCAACTCAAATCTCAACTCTCTAGAGTCGAATCGGAAAACAACATGCTCAAAGAGGTATGTTCTGTTCAAGTGATCGAGGGACGAGATCCGTCACTAGGTTTGCGCTAGTAAACAGTGTTTTTAGAAGCAATTATGACCGAATTTTTTAAAGAGACTGTTTGATAACTCGTAGGAGCTCGGTTGTCGTTCATCGACAGTGTGTAAGAGTGAGATCACAACGCTATCTCTCTCTAATACACTATGACAATTACTATGACAATTTTCAATCAGTATTGATTTACTTATGCATGAAATTCCTCACAAAGACGCAGATATTAATTAGTTATGCTCCTGCACGTTATGATCAGTTTACGCGATAATGCGATCGGTAACCGTAATAAGTAATACTTCTCAAAGATAGAGACTGTGTAGTAGCGTAACGTGGTGGCGTATCTAGTCCCTGGATAACCCCCTTCCCTCCCCCAAAAAAATAATTTTCTCGGCAATTGTTCGGAGTTTTTCCAGCTCAATTTCTCGATAATTTTTTGTTAGGTACCCCTTTTCTCATTTTCAAGTAGCTCTTGTGGAACTATATGTATTTACGTAGAGGTTACTCAATAGATGACATTGCATTTTCGTTTCGTTTCAGCTTTGCGATCGTCTATCAAAGGACCAGGTTGAAGTGCGTAATTCAGCTTCGAACGAGCTTTCAAACCACATATCTAAGCTGAAAAAAGAGTTGGTGCAAATGCGGCTCAACCACGAGGCTGAAATTGCTGCTCTCAAGGGCGAGAAAGAATGGGAATCAACACAGGTTTGCAACAGGTAAATATTTTTTTTTTATTTTTTCAAAGAGAATATAGTCCTCATTAGTATTATATAACCTCAGTTTGATCTGTGTGAAGGATACTTGTTAATAACGTGCCCAGGGGTTGATTTCCGTGCGCGCAATATTACAATTTTATTGTGATTTTCATCCGGACTAGCTCCTTCATTTAGTAGATAAGAAACACACAGCACTCCGATACAGTCGCGATGATTTAACCACGGAAGGACAGTCTGTTGCAACTTGTGTTACTTGGATACTCATTTAAGATATTTAGAATTCTATAGTATTCTGAACATTTAATACACAATAAGGTAACCCAAACCATTGGAAAAATTTACTTTCTTGAATTCTTGAGTAAAGTTTGGTAAAGTTAGCCAATATTTGAGAAAATTATTTTGAAATTTCAGGGTTTTAGAGACGGTTGCGAGGAAAGACGAGCGCATCAGTCAATTACAGAAGGATCTAGCTGCTGCCTTAAGCCGATGCAGTCACTTGGAAAGAATATCGGAGGAACAGTATGGAAGTCATTCATGACAGTCGCACAAAGTGTACTCGCATTGGAACTTTTCCGCGGATTTGTAAAATTAGTTTTTATGAGATATCACCTAAATGCTTCAAACATAGCATACAAGCTTGCGGCAAGATTGATATTAGCTTGTGCAAGATTGTGTATAATGATGCAGCAACCTTGCCGCAAGCCTACCGCAAGGTTGTTGCTCCACAATTTTTATGGCGAATCCGCAAGCTTGCTGCAAGCTTTTGAACAAGCCTCCGGTAAAATTTCAAAATTTTCTAATCAATCTCATCAAATATTGCAGAGAGCTTACTGCTTGATTTCATAATTTTACTAAGGTTGCTTATCAAGTTTTGCTGCAATGTTGATGTATGAACTTGCTCTAAGGTTGATACTCGGTCGCACATGGGCAGGATTCCAGGAAGCTTCTAGTGGTATTTTGATGCGAGTTTGAAAAATTTGTTAATCTGCAATTTTGATGCAAAGTTGATACTAAGTTTCTTGGAAACGCTATCCAGTGGCATGACCGCATGGCTGCAATTCTGACTCGAGATGGCGTTTATCGTTAAACCTCAAATAAAAACTGACTATATTATAAACAAATAAATATGGGTACCTATACGTTGTCGTATGTACCACTTGCGGAACGATGAGTTACAGAGTGCGATTCGTCTTATGTCTAAAGTCGAAATAAGTCGAAACCCGAAACCTCCTTTTCAACGTTTAAAAATTCACGATCATGTTTCTTTTTTTTTAAACGAAAGCCAACGAAAATAAAGAACCGAACAAAAAATCCAAATGAAGTGTTTTCGCATTTTAGCCATCGAGATATAGTCGAACCGATGAAAAAGATGTTAACAGAGGCTTCATTTCACCCAAAATGTATTGGGAGGGGGAGGGGGGGGGATGAAAGCTGTCCGGAAATGGAAATCTTGCGTCAGAGGAGGGCTGCACATCGCCAAAAATTCTCTAAAATTGATTCAACTTCACCAAAAGTTTCCCTGAAGTGGTCAATATTGGTATGTAGGGGATGGGGCGATCGGTCCCTTGCGGTCTTCAAATGACGCTATCTGCATGTTAACTTTTAGCAATGTTCAATCATTTTACATTTTGTTAACACAGAAGGCGTTTACTTCGATTGAAACGGACAGAAATATGACGAAGCAGCTATATATCGATAGCTATAATCGATATATCGATTAGATTCAATTAATTCTTCTGCTTTGGTTTTCATTATTCGAATCGCATAGCTCATCTAACTTCAGTTTCTTTACCTACAGAAATGTTCCTTCTCTACTCTGTAAGACTCCTTGTTATTGATGTTTATTACCTATTTGTTGAATTTTTTAATTTCTCTTGTATTATTTAGATGTTATCAGCCCCGATGATGGTGCTATTATGTACGTACCGAGAAACTTCGGAAAAATATAATTGAATAAACAATGCATGACATTGAGACTACCAATTTATTGATCCGCAGTATGGACACCCTTTTCTACCCGAAATGACACATCAGACCATAAAGTTGATTGCATTTTATTAGCAACGGACATAACTAGAACAGGTCTTCATTCTTTAGCTCTATGGTATAGTAGTGTCCTTAGTTATTGAGCGCAACAACAACTCAGAGCTCATTGCGCCTGAGGAATGCAACTATTCGTGTTCAATAAATGTCCGTGTTGCGTTTAAGAATAATGCAGGCGCTATGGTTTTTCTTCCGCCCACAGGAACCTAAGCGTTTGGCGTTACGGTCCTGCACGCTGAAGTCATAGCCTTACTCCGATGAAAAAGAAAAAAAAGAAGAAGAAAATAATGAGAAAAAAATTAGAAAAAAATGAATTGGACGAGGAACATACATAACACAGTGACTATCCAAAGTAGCGACGAAAATGAAACAACTGGTGAATATGAGATACGTCTTGAAGAAGCTGAGTCAAAAGAAACCCTTTTTGCTACTTTGTTTCGGTATACGGAATATTTAAATATGAACAGGGTTCGAAAATTCTTACGAGATCTGTGCTTTTTTAACGCTTAAACTGTTCAAGATAGTTGTGCTCATTCTTAGAAAAATGAGGTAGTTTTTTTTAACTCTTTTCTTTACTTAAATACCTCTCGTAAATTTTTAGCTTTTTTCAGTGTATTTACTCAGGAAAATACAGCACATTTTTTAAAGAGATTTTGAAAAGGGGTTTTCAACAGTATTTGCTACTAGGATACAGAGACAATTTGTCGCTCCTCTCACGTAAGGGCGTACCTCTATTTCCACGTGAGACCTGTGCTCCGCATTACTATATGCTCTCTGGGGCTCATGAAGAATCGGAGATACGTTAACGCCCTTACGTCAGAAGAGCGACGAATTATATGGGAGCAATCGGATTTTTTCTTTTTTGCCTCTACACTCCGGACTGAAAAAAGGTATATAGGCTTAGTGAGTGTCCAGTCTTTTCTTACTACCTCATTTCTCTCTCTTCTTATCTCTGTCTATTTATTTTTTGTCTTTTTCACTTTTCAAAATAATTGATTTTGTAAAATATGGGAGACGTTCAAATTTAAAATTCCGAGTAAAGTTGGGGGAAAATGGAGGAGGGGACCAATAATGATCGACGAGTATGTTCAATTTCGTTATTAAGACATGACAAAGTTGCCGAAAAAAAGTTGTTGCACTCGGCAAAAAACCATCACAGAGTGATATGCTCCGCTCCGTTTTGTAAAAAAAAAAGCGCAAAAAAGTCGCGAGTTTTTGAAGGATCTGCAATTTCATTTTAGCTTGTGAACATGGATCAAAATGGCGACTCGATAGGAAGATGCGCTGCGGCTCATGTATACCTTAAGGTTGGCAAACTAGTAAGTTACATTGGATCTGGTGAAAGTTGAAAAGGTGCGCTCGGTCATTTCCGGTCCGACATTTTAAAAGAACCGCGCTTAATTTTGAAGCAACGCGCCAATGCGCATGCTAACTGTTGAGACCCGAATCTCATCAACTCCTCTCATTGGTCAATTTCAAATTCTGATCGGAGTCGTTTATTTGTTTTTGAAATTTTGATTCAATCGTTGATAACAAAGCTTTTTCCTTTCAGTTGGTACTAACTTTCGTTCTATTATTTCGCCGTTATCAGTTTTATCTCACTTTTAAACTGATTGAAGGCACAGCCTGTTCTTAGAACCGGTAAGTATTTGTTTCTTATCATAGCCTACACCTAAGATTAGATCAACAAGTAGTCTGAAATCAATGAGTCAACCATCCTTCACATTCAATTCTCAGTGTAGTACCCAATCTTTTTTAAATATCCGACCGTTTTACTTTTATCGTTCTCTTTAAAAGGCCTGTTGGTTCATGCAACACGTCATACGTCATAAAGTATAATTAAAAATGTTAGTGATGGTGATCAACTGACAGAAACTTAGAACTCAACATGTGTGCTCCTTGCACGGTGTTACCCTGAAACAAGATTTATTGCATCTGCGCTAATGTCACTTACTGGAAAATCATTCGCATACGAGGTATGTGGTTTTTGTTTCATTGTGCACTGCGACGATTTAGCTCACTTTCAAACAGTTCTGCAGCTTGTTTCCGCACCCACAAGCCTCCGTATACTTTGCTTGAGTGGCGGGTGCTTGTTTTCGACTTGTGCGCAGGCAATTGTAAATGCTGGATTAAATCAACCTGTGCCTAGTGAGGGTTTACAAGTGCAGGAAGCTTACTGTTTGACCTATTGGTCCTATACCAAAATTTTGGTAATTTGTGTTTTTACCTCTTTATTGTGCCCGTCTTTTTCAGATCAACAACACCAAAAATTGATATGGCAACAGCTAGTCAAATCGATAGTGATGAGGAGGATGTATTCTGGGGGCCGGTGACTATGAAAGAAATTAAACTTACTTTCAAGAAAGAGCTAGAAGAATTGAATCGCCGACGGTCTGCAGAAGTGAAAAGTAACTAGACATTTCAAATCATTCTAGATTTGGTTGTAAATGTGTAGTTTTGTTTTTCAACTCTTACCTTTATCTCAAAATAAATTACATCACAAGTTAAAAAGCACAGTATAATGTTTATTATTGTCGATGACTGAAAGAAAATATTATTGAATTCAACATAATAGTCACTTATTACTCCGAAACCAATCACAATGCATGCTCCTAGGTTTGAATCTCTTTAATTAGACAATCTCGATAATACAAAAAAGAAACAATCTCATCGGAAAATCTCTTTATTCTAAAAGTCCAAAGTATTTGATTGTGACAACATCAATGAGATGTGCAAGAGTGACCTAAAAATTTGGATAACTGCCTTTACAAGGTATTCTTATGGGTAAACTGCAATATTGCAATCATACAATATCCATTTAGTACCTAACTTCAAAAACTATGCCTGCTCGTTTTAGCTTCATATTATGTTTTTTACCTTTCAGAGGATTATTATTAAATGCTCTTTCTTATTATTTAAATTTAAAACTTTGTTTTCTGAGTTACATTATGTCCACAGTTCATTTCTGAAATGCATATGTAGGTATCTATAACTAATATTGCAAGGAAGGAGGCCCAAGGTTGATGACTTGAGCGATATTTAGTTTTGCTATAACTAATGCTACTAATTTTAGTAGTCTAGCTGCTTATTTTGTAAAATGACAGTTAAAACTCTGCTTGACCATGTTACATTGATTGCGACGTTTAAGGTGCCGCATCGCTCCTCCTTAAGCACTTCGCATTGATTTCTAATTGTGCCATGATGTAACATTTTGATGGGGGCATTCATTCCTTGCTTCTTAGTAATTGTGTTCTTTCTGAATTTCAGAGACTGATGCAGACATAAATAATGGAACATCGTATTCTTTACCAAAAAGGCTTGAAGATGATCATGTCTCTCCAGTGTCGCACAAATCAACTTTTTTGAATACACAAAGGAGCCACCCTCAATCCAATGGTCACACCATCACCAATCACGGTGATCCGCAGCCAGAGGAAGAGACCTGTTTTGCCTCTACACCACAAAAATTAGTCAATATTTCAGGTAATGGTACCTCTCAGCATAATAAAGAAAGCACCTTCAACTCCTCCAGTACGACACCGATCTCGTCTCCCATAAAAGAAAACTGCTCCTCAACTTACACGACTCCATCGTTGGCGTCTCAGTCTCGTAATGATTTTGATTCTTCTTTTGCGTCAGTGGCATCCTCTTTTATTGATGAGTCAGACTCCCCTGCTCTAGAGGTTGCGTCAGAAAGTTTTGAAAAAGTCGATCCAAAACGTTATGACGCCAGGAGTATTAATATTCCTGATGTAATTGGAAGTCACATACAATCCTCTGTCTCTCCATTGTTGAGTATCACTGAAAAGTTGAACCTTCAACCATCCGAGAAAAATTCACCTGAGAACATTCTTCAAGATATTGATTCTATCTCAAATAACTCACCGGTCCCAGTGAAAGGTGTGCTTCCAACTCCTATCATAGAATCAAAAATTGATAAAATGTCTACTTCCTCTACATCTTTGACAACTGGCAACAAGGTCTCTCAAATGAATGGTGTTCAGAATATAACTTCAGATTGCAACTTGTCAGATAGCTCTGATAAAGCGAATCACCTCAGTCCTAAAAAAGAGCTAATTTTAGGCGGGGGAACTGCTCCACAGAAATTTAAGTCCGAAGATAGTCAATGTGTTCCTTGCTCTGCAGAAGAAAAAGTTTTGAATGAGAATGTTCTGTCCAACGTTGCCAAAAGTCGCGATTTGAAAATGAGCTCTGGATCAGATTCGCCTGCTTCTCTAAAATTTCATGCAACTGATTCTCCATTGAAACCATTTAATATTTCACAATTTACTGAGGCAGATTTATCAGATGTATCTCCACCAAATTTCTCTGTGTTTGATGATTCTGTCATGTCTGTCAATCAGACCCAGCTTCCAACTTTATCTAAATTGAAAAGAACTTCTGAAGTACCTAGCAGGAAGTTAGCAGGAAGCAATTTACCTAGATTTGGACTAAAACTGCCTCAGAAGAAGAGTATTGTCAATATATCAGTGCCAAAAGCATCTGTAGAACAGCAAAATACAAATAACTTTTCCAACCATTTAACTTCCTCGAAAGCTTCTACGAGTCCCAAGGTATTAAGAAACCTTGGAACTCAGATTCCATCTATTGTTGATACTAAGACTGGGCTCAACCAGTGCTTACCATGTGGCGAAAAGACACCACAAAAAAGCATCTCAACTTCAGGAAAGAAAGAAAAGTTTTTTAAAACACCTCCATCAATCAAGTATTCAAACTCCAAACTCAAACAAGCATTCGGAAAAACTAGTCCTTTCAACCCGAAATTCGATCGCTTGTCTCCCACTAGTGTGCACATGTCGACACCATCTTTCTCTGAGTCTATCGTGGAAAAAAATGGAACCTGTGAAAAAGTGGTTTCGGAACCAAAGAAAAAATTTTTCTCAGGACCTCACTCCCTCAACTTATCCACTGGACCAGTGAGAGTCAAAACACCAAAGATCATCTCACCAAAGTCAAGCAGCAACAGCAATACTTTCAAGCCTCATAGATTTGCTAAAAATGACACGCTTTCCTCTGAGCGCAACAATTCTACTGTGCACTCAAAGATACCAGCAGCATCTATTCCCAGGTTTTTCCCTAGAAATGTGAACATTACGCCATCCTATCGAGAAAATGTACCCAACTGCTCTCTCAAATCTGAGGATTTGGAGATCTCCGTTGCTGCTTACAGTAGTGACTCATCTTTGCCTCTTTCTGAAGCCTCTTTCAGTAGCAGCAACACTGTAAAAACTTTTGGTATTGCTAAAAGTAACACACTCTCTTCAGAGCGGAACAACACTTCAGTGCGCTCAAAAATACCATCAGCCTCTATTCCTAAATTTTTCCCCAAAGTCGTAACCAACACACATCCAAATCAAGAAAATTTGCCCAACAGCACTCGTAAATCAGAAGATTTTGAAAAGTCTGTTGCCTTTTACGGCAGTGATACGTCTCTCCCACTCTCTGATGCCTCTTTTAATAGCTCTGCCAATTCAAACAAATCTCGTATTGGTGGGATACCAAAACCCAAGTTTTTTGCGGACCTTCCAAAAAAACAACCAACAACTCGATTACCACGCTTGAATGACTCGTCAAGAATCCCTAAAGTTAGTGCTACTAATTATTTCCAAAAAAATGGCAAGTAAAGGAACTTCTAAGGCCTCTGAGTTGAACCTCTTTTTTCTTTGATCACTGGAATATTTTTAACTTCATTCAGTGTAGCTGAAAGTCGTAGCGATTTTATGTACCCACTACCATAATTTTAATTATATCATTCCCTATTTTTCTGAGCATGTAAGCACATTCAACCTCATGTAATATAGATTTTAAGTAATCAGCAAGATTTTGTTGACCGTTTGGTCATCAATTATGATTTTACACCAGAACAAAGAGTTTTTAAGTATCTTCACTTATTTTTATGAAATCTCATCTTTCTCTTTTATAGCAAGTAAAGGAACTTCCAAGGCCTCTCTCTGTTTCTTTTTCCTATCATACCTTGCATTACGGTAGGATAGGGGTGCATTAAATTTTTCAGAAATTTTAAATGAAGAATGGATGCAAAGTGACAATTTTTCATGCAGAATTCATCACAAAAAGCCAATAGAGGGAAGGGGGGTTAAATTGTAAATTTCGTAATGTTTCAGTGTGTAGACTTGAGTTATGTTGTGGGAAGTCAAAAAACCTGGTCTTCCGTGTTGCGTATTTGATGAAAGGCCCTTGAAAGAAAAGTTGAGTACTGCTCAAAACAATGTTGTGGTTGATGTACTGATCAAATTTTTGAAATCTCTGTATTACCACTGTTTTCTTGCATGGAAAATAGCTTGGAGTTGATGAATGTTTGTGTTCAGCTTAGAAATACCAAACGGAGAAAATTTTGACTAGAAAAATAATTAGATTTTATGTTCTGAAACAATTCAGGCTGTGGTTCCTGTTGCATCTTTTTTTAACTGTTTCAACTTCAGTGATTCACTATGTTTTTAAGTCCTCTTCCGTAGTCTTTCAAGTCATCGACCTTAGGAATCAATTTTTAACCTCTTCAACTCAGAAACTTGTGAAGATAATTAAGTTCTACATAGGTGTTCAATATTACTACTTGAGCAATGAAAATGTAATGGTATTCTGTCATTCATCACAGATACCTAATTGAATGCAAGAATGAAGTGCGTGAGACAGAAGTCCAAATGCTCAGTCCATGTTTCTTTTCAAGGCTGTTTTTCAGTTTAGAAGTCTTCGGGCTCGCAATTAACTAGGGTACCTTTTTTTCATTAAGTAAGAAACTCAGGTTGCATATTTGTAATTGTGCCTTTAAAAATCTCTAAATAGGGCGTGTTGAGTCCTGTCTGTGACCCAAAAATTACACTTAAGTCGTAATGGACAAACAATGGTGGTCCGGACGATTTCTATTTTAACCCCCATTTTAGAGAAGTGTGATGCGCAAATATTAAGGGCTTCACTGAGCTATTTGAATGTACCTGATGCCATGTCCAAAGTGAATGAAGTGGAACCACCTGTGTATATCCTCCTTGCAATTAATTAACCCCCATGTTTCGAGTTTATTCGATCAATTCATTTCTTACTTCAAATGACACCTAAGTGACAGCCAAGGGGGCAATTCTTTCCATCTCTTTTTCTGATCTGTGCGTAATATGGTACCAGTAGTGCCCCATCTCATATATCATGATATAGGTATTAGCACCATTTCTGTTTAACTTAACCAGCAGCCTTACTTCTGTTCAGTGTTTTAATCATGAAAAAGTGTTATGAAAGATCAATCATCTTACAAATTTTTTTTTTTAACTTAGTTGTTTTCTTTATTAGTGCTGTGAGACATCATGATTTCTAAAAATTGTCATGTTCACTTTTAAGTAGTTTTGTTTGAGAAATTTCTTGGCTATCAATCTTTCGCTTACACATTGGCAACTTATAATTTAAAGGAACTTAGTGATGTACCATGTGCCTCCTACTTGAATGGAGTATTTTAGATGTTTTTAATTTTTTACTTTTTGTAATTTTTTCTTCTTTTTTTAAAAAACCACTGTTTCTAGAAATTTTTACCTGTGAATAAAAAATTGATCTCAATTTGTTGTATTTGCTTCTTCTCATAAGTAGAGAAGGCATATCAAACGATAAACTCCCAAAGCACGTTTCTCAGTTTTAAAAGGTTGCAGACTTCCTGTATTACTCAATTCTTTAAATGCAGAACTAGTCATTGTCAACTCTCAAAACCAACAGTGATTTTTCTACTGTACAAAAATTATTTTGTGGATAGTGCTGGTAGCTAGAAACAAGTCTGAAAATATTAATGCTCAAATGATTTTATTCCTTGTGAAACAGCATTAAATTTAAGAGAAGGATTAACATTATATAAGAAACAAAACTGTTTAAAAATACAAAAGACAAATTTGAAAAAAAAAAATCAATAAGTGATTAAACAATAAAGAGGAATAATACGAAATGCTCACGTAAATAAATGAACTGAGAGTAATCTTTTCATGGAATTCAGACAGGTACGAAGACAGCGAAAGAATAACTTAAGCAAAGTACAAAATTTCTGAGGTCTTCGAATGCAACAAAAAGGAAACAGGGTTTGGTGAGCAGGAAAGATGGGTTTAGAATACCCCAAAAATAAGAATTTAAATAGGTACTTGACTTCTCAAAAACAAATAATAAGTCCCTTCATGTTTTTCTTTTAACTTCAAAACTTAAAAGAAAAAAAAATGTTAAGCTGAGACTCGATATGCAGGAATTTGTAACAAAGACGGTTCCTTCTTCTAAAATCAAATTAAAATTCATGGAGCTTTAAACTAAAAGGGTAAAAAAAGATGCACATCATCCTACTGTTTTGACATTTTTTTTTCTTATACAAATTTGCTATTTTTTTTTTCTTTTTTAATTTTTATTTTTGGAATCCCCAAAATCTCCCTGGGTTCAGGAGATGTTTTTTGTTTTACTTTTTTTTAAAAAAAGTTTCACGTTGTTAGTTTACTGGTTTTTTCCCATTTCATTTTAATGGTCTGAGCAGATCTTATAGATTAGAAATTTTAAACACTATCAACTGATACAAAAATAGGACAGCGTATAACGGAGTGTGACAGAAAAAACGGAATTAGTCGTAGACTTTGGAAAAGGCAAAAAGGAAGAAAATGAATATTTCAGTAAAAATACTATGGGAAAAATCTAATGGAGGAATAATCGTGACACCAAAGCTATGATGTAAGAAGAAACTGAAAATAGAGGGGAAAACCCAGAGTAAACTTCGTAAGAGGGGGAAAAATAAAGTTTCTTTTTTTTCTTCATCTTTTGTCCATTTTTCCTTTTTTTTTCATTTTAAATTTTTCTGTTTTTTTCTTACTTTATAATTTTTTAAATTTTTTTTTAAAACTTTTTCATCAGTTTTTTTTTTTTGTGTTTAATTGTATTCATTATGCCTAAGTACAAAAAAAGAAAAAAAAATCTCTGCTAAGTAATTCAAGATACAGCAATGGAAAGGACATTTGCTCGAAGTTAATCTATAATTAAAATATAATTATAATAAAACTTCATCCTTCCACAACTGCATTTGAAGAATATACTGACAGCTCCTTCGTTGGATGTTAGGGAGGAATATTCAAGCATAAATCCTATCAAAGACAATCATTAATCTTTCTTCAATATTTTTTTTTTCTCTTTTTTTGGATTTTGTTTTTGTTTTACTATTTTTTTCCTTACTTTTTCATTATATTTTTTTTTCTTCAAACTCAAGCTAGCAGTAAACTGATGAGAAAGAGTTGCTCAGGAGCTCGTTTGACGTTAAAATCCACCTTACTCCTTCTTAACTTGAGCTGCTTGCTTGGCTTGATGGGCTTGCAATACAGCCACTGCCTCTTCGACCTATAATTAAAAAAATTATAAATTAGTTTTACACGCTGATAGTGGTGAAAAAAAATTATTAATGGCAACTGAATTGAGCTTAAGCCTTCGTAATAACGAATGTGAGTATTTCAGACCATTCAGGATTAGTTGAGATCCTGAGTAATTTCTTTAAATCTTCATAAGACTCCATACAGACAATCGTAAGTTTCTACGTACCAGATGGATGAAAAGGTTAAGAAAGTGGTACGACAGAAGCAGTTCTTTTTAACATTGTACAATTGCGTCCTGCACCTTTACAGAACGCACACTCCTTGTACAGGATAAAAAGCTAAAAAGAAAAGTGCATCTTGGGAAACACAAAATTTATCTCCAAGTTGAGGTACTGCACCGAAGGTGCTCAAGAATGAGATTGAGGACAGCGAAACAATCTGTCATAGGAAATCTATTTGAGTTCTTGGGGTAAACTTTTGCCTAAGTGTTAAACACTGACACCAGTTTTATACTAGTAGGAAATTTCCTTACTTAGCAAAGGAAGAGAATAATTCGAATTATTTATTACAGATCATAATTTGTTCTGGCCAGAGATTAAACATTTTTGTACGTCTCCAGTGCTGTGACAGAGACTACTCATTTTTCAAAAAGTGCGAAATTTGTTGCATACTTGTTTTGCACATCTTCATTTTGAGAACACTTATTAAAGTAATCATTTTTCTAATCAATGCGACTCAATACGAGAAAGAAAAAATGACAGGAAATCCTGAAGATAACTTACCTTGGATTTGAGAGATTCATTGTCCACCAACATGTGAAGTAATTCAGCATTCTCAATTTCCAACAACATACCAGTGATCTTACCAGCCAATTCAGGATACATGCGCTGTGGAAACAAAGCGGAAAAACATATTTTTTGAAAAATCAAATACTCATGGGTCATCATTTGCACTTTCAAAGTGTTAAATAAATGGTATTGAAAAATTTATGGTGGTTTCAGTCAAATTTTGTGACAGCTTTGAGGCATTTTTCAAGTGACGTGGTACAGAAGCTATAGAGAGAGATTTGGTTTCAATATTAGCGAGAGAGTATAGAGGAATTTCTGAGAGGAAAACAACTTGGAAATCCCCCGAGAGGTTTTTCAAATACTGAAACAAAATCTATCTCTAAGAGACAATCCCGGATGCAAACATTTTTTTCGACTCTCTTGTTGCAAAATTCCTTTTTTCTTCACTTTTTCAGCTCCCTGATCTCTTCTTCCAAATCATAAGAAGCTCAAAAATAAACCCTGTTCAAAGCGAAGTATAGGTCAGGAAATTTCCACGGGAAAAATTTGCTACCAACTGGGTGAGGAATAAGGAGGTGCGTTGCTTTGTACTACAGCGCCGCTTAGTTTTGCAAAGGCTCTGGTTCTTGCACATGAGTTTGCAACTTTCTCAGCAAGGCGTATATTCTCTCTGATTTTCCCACTCGCTAGATACTCTGCTAGCAATTAGTCAAACTTCATTTTGGTGATGTTGGACTAGATATTCATAAACTCTGCAGTATTCTGGCTGACATCTGAACTTGTGCTAATAAAATGTAAAAAGTGATGATAGAGGAGTATAATAAGTAACAAATCGCTCCTACCTGAATAAGAGGGAACAACCTTTCACCCAACATTTGTTTCTGGTCAGAATCATTGGCAGACGCCAACATGGATGATGTGAGCGGCTCTTGACCTTGGATGAGGACAGCCTGCAAAATAAAGATGAAAAATGATTAGATAATCGTTAGTTTATCAAAAAAACAAATACATATTTTTAGACATGTGCAAGGATTGCTAACATTACCAGTAAGTCGATCAATCATGTACAAATTAAGTATGCAAACACTCTAATTCAGGGCTGATGAGCGCTCTTTGATTAACAAAATAAAATTTCTATATGTACGACAGGTAGTATTGATAATCAAATTAGAGATGAGGAATAAAAAAAAGAAATCTCGATAGGAAGGACAATCTGACTTCAATACTACAGATTTATTTTCCATACTTCAACTACCCATCCATGTTTTCTTGACAAACGGCTTTCCAAACTTGACTTTGAAATCATGCAGACAATGAGCATACAAAATGAGGTAGTGGAAATACGAACGTGGCCACGTATACCATCTTGCTCATGGAAAAACCAGCAGTATTTTGCAATTTATACACGTTTATAAGAGATTTAAATGTCCTGATTCTTTCTCATGGTAAATGCCACCAAACGTAACTGAGCATATAACTTGAAGCCAGTGAGAACCCCTTTTTCAAGTTTCAAACGGTTTAAAAGACCGCGTCCTTGGCCTGGTAAAATTTTGATGAATGATGATGAAGAATTTACCTGTTGCACTTGTTGTTGTTGAACTGGCATTTGCTGTGATGGATTGCGCACGTTTGAGGTGTATTTGTATCCTGATGTGCGAGCCTGGGCGGACACTGAGACGGGTGGTGGTCCAGTGCGAGCAGTGACCATGGTGGTCTGTTGACCTGTGATCGGTCGGGCTGCCATTGGATTACGGATTGCGGCTGGTTGAGCGGTGGCTGGCCGAGCTGCTGCTGATCGGAATGGAGCTTGCATGTTTGCGAAACCTGAGAGAGAAAAATAAAGGCGTTGTCAGTGCTTTATGTTAGCATCATCAAACAACTCAGAGGAACTCCATTTTCTTGAAATATTGAGTTCATTACTTGAAAGTTACTTTGCGCTGGACATGTAATGAGCAGAAAATACATATCTCTCATATTTCACTAAAAAGCTAACTTTGACTGAAATTCGACCTGGAAAATTGGGGGTCTTTACAATGGGAAGACAAACTTGAAAATGTGAAGGCTGAGAACTTGAGTCTACATCTCTGGTGAAAACTTAAGAACCATTGCCTGTAAATGTCTCTGGGTGATTGACAGCATGCATCAAAACATATTTGAATTATTGAGAACTATTGGTTTTGGCCAGTTCTTTTCTTTCTTGCGCCTTTTTATCCTTCACAAAGTTTTATTGTAAGTTAATGATTTAAATATCCTGAGCTCAAAGTTGCACTGGAATAAAATCTGTTTTTTCTAATTATTAACAGGAGAGATTATGGATACATATTTGTGCCAGGAAAACCCCATAAAATAATTCGACAATGTTAACTTTTCGGCCTGCAGGATAGTGTGAACCCTGCACTAATTTATCATTTTGTTACTTCCAGTTCGGGCTACATTTTTAGTGTTTAATGACTAACCTGGCGAAGATTGAGCATTGGGGCGAACTTGTGGCTGTGCCGACCAACGTGGCTGAGGTCTAATTTGCGTCATCTGGGTTGGGCCATAGAAGCGAGGAGGTTGCTGCATGGTGGGTACGAAGTAACCATTGCTGCTTGGTTGGAAGAGCGGACCAATTTGTTGCATTCTCATGTTAGCAATACGTTGCATGTACTGTGAGGCAAGATGGGCTTTGCGATCTTCTTTTCTTTGGGCTAAAGCAACGTACAGAGGTTTGGTGCCAACAATTCTTCCGTTCATGTCAGTGACAGCTTTGGTTGCTTCCTCAGGTGATGAGAAACAGACAAATCCAAATCCTTTGCTTCGGCCTTCTTCCATCATAACCTGCAAATTAACACCATGAGGAAAAAGTCAGAACACTTCAATATGAATAATGAGGGGAAAAAACTTTTCGCTTTCAATTTTACATGCATTTAATCTTCCCGAAGAATTTTGAACAGCCCACTTTTTCAACTTCATGTGAAGAACCTAGAATTCATCAATTGGCATCCAAAATCAAAATGGAAAATTTTGGATGAACAGTCAAGAAAATTTTCTATCATATTTTTACATGATCTAATCTTCCTGTCTTTTACAGTGCAGAATTATTCATTGTTATTTGCAAAAGAGTGGCTGAACCTCCAATTCAAATAATTTTAGGCTGAAATTTCCTGCTTTGAAAGGAACATCATCATCATCATCATCAAAGATTATGAAAAATTATCAATTAAATGGCTTCTTTCTGATATTGTGGCTGTATGATTTTACCTGTAATGAGAGAAAGCTAAGCTCTAAAAGAAAAATTTGAAATGACTCTTGGTTAGGAGATGATATAAAAGGAAATCTACCTTGGCGCTAGTAATGGTTCCAAACATATTGAATTCTTTGCGCAAGCGTTCATCATCAATGGTGTCATCAAGGTTCTTGACGTATAAGTTGACTCCTTGGTATCTGCTCAATCGTTCGATCTTGAGTTGTTCAAATTTGCGTTTCAATTCCTGTTGACGCTCTGCTTTCTTCTGAGCACGGCCTACATATAATGGCTACGGAAAGAGGAAGAAGTAAAAAAATGAAAAGGATTCATTAGAGTAGAGAATATTTCCTGATGAGGGAGAGTCTGAAAATTCATCCTTGACAAAGATATTTTCTTAGTTTTCTTTTCTTCATCCTCTTTAAAGTTGAAGTGAGATTGAACACCATAAATTTTCAACTAGTTGCAACTTTATGAAATTAAACTCTGTGTAAGATGTAGATTCGATTAAGAGAATTCTTCGCACTATTTTTTTAATCGGAGACACAGTTCGTCTCCTTTCAGGAAAATTATTGCAAGCAGTTCTTTACTGAAATTGAGATATGATTCATTTCAGATCCTTCAGATACTGCTATACACAAGAGTAAAAGTTGAATGTAAACTAAAGTGACTTCAGAAAACTGTTATTTTGTAAAGGACAGTGCATATACGAGCGCTGTCAGGGGTTGTATCTCATGCAGTTCAGCAATGGCAGGAAACAGTTTGACAGCACCTTTTGCTATGCTTTACATTTATTAAAATTTGAGGAGTCAGGAGCAAATCAAATCATCAAAAGCACTGCAGAAATTATGACAATGCTTATCACATCGACCACTGTGTTCATGGACTCCTCTAATGAGAAAGTAAATAATTTATAAGTCAAGTCAAGGCAATTTTTCATTTTTCTAAAAAAAACCGGGTAAGGGGCAGATCTGGCCTTAACTAAGGCTAATATCTAGTTAGAGATTAGTTTGTGTGGATTACAATCATACTAATATGCTAAGTTAGCGATATAACTGATTTATTAAATCAAACATGCATCAAATGAATGAAAATAAATAAGAAACTGGAAAGCAAATGTTAGCTTACCTTGCCATTTTCAAACATTTCTTTGCCATTCAATTCTTTGACTGCTCGTTCAGCGGCACCAGGCTCATCAAAGGCAACAAAACCAAATCCACGAGATTTGCCATCATCTTTGAACATGACCTGAAAATCAAATCGAATATTAGATGCGACTGACTGATTCAAATTTCTAGAGATTAGAACATGTAGAACTAAAGCTGGAGCTAACCATTCCTGAGAGCAGTGACATCGAACAAGCCAAGAGAGATTTTTCATCGTTTTGATACAAAGCAAATATTTTCATTACTTAGCCTCGGAGGAACATAATAAATCAAATGTTGATTCGAGGTTCAGGATAATCCATCTATATTCTGGTTGTATCACGGAATTAAATTCTTTCAGACAATGCTAAGCCCCCCATAATATCCTAGGAAAAATGTTTGCATCAAATCTCTGATGAAAAAGTCCAATTATCTGGATCCGACAGTGATCTAGGAGTTAAGAGAATGAATTTCATGATGAGAATTTGAGTGGCTGATGACAGAGGCGCCAATTGTAATAAGTCCATGAATATTCATTTATGTTCAACATCTATCCCCTGCAAGTTTTGTATGGTAAAAAAAATGGACTGTTTTGTGAAATTCAGTTTTGCAATAGTACTTACTTTGTGGCTTGTTATTTTTCCGTACTTTTCAAACATTTGTTTCAACAACTCATCTGTGAAATCTTCTGGGAAGTTTTTGACGTATACGTTGGTAAAGAGTTTAGCCTTCTCACCAAGTTCCTTCTCACGTTCCTTGTGAGGAATGAATCTGCCTACGAATACCTGGAGGACAAAAATTTTAAAATAAATAAATTTTGTTGAGAAATAAAGAAACTGTATGTATCTAAATTAAATTTAATTTTATTTTTCTGACTTTAAGTTTCCTCATGTACCTGATGTTTTAAAGTGCAATGTTTCTGACGTACCTGCCAATTAAGTGAACATTTGAAAAACCTAAGTTTCACCGCAACCATCACTAAGTTGATGGTGAACTATGTGCAAAAAGTTATTGTTTTCTTATGTGACTGTGAGATGGGTGCATCTTCGGGACTATTATTATTATTGTTATTTTTTTTATTTTTTTTTTTTTAAAAGGAAAATGGCCTTAAAGATTTGTCACCAACGCATAAACACTACTTTCATCAAGAAAGTGATGAAGACTTAAATACAATAGGGGAAGGGATAAATTCTGTATAATCATTTTAATGAACTCATTTTGGATGCTACTTTTAATAAAATGAACAATTTCCTTTTGTATTACTTCTCAGCTTTCCCTGATTGAGGGGAAATCAGGGTGACGCTTGTTTTTTGTGGTGTCACACAGGCATAGTTTTCCGATTTTAGAGAACCAAGTGGCACAAAAAGTGCAAATGAAAAATCACCTTTTTGCCGTTCAACAACATGCCGTTGACTTTGTCAATGGACTTGTTCGCTGCTTCTTCTGTTTCAAAGTGCACAAAACCATATCCTTTGGAAGCGCCAGTGTCATCTTGAGCAACCTAGAAAAAAGAACAAAAAAGATAAGCGTCAAAAGTAGCTTTTATTGCTGCTTTTTGATCGAAAAAACAAACATTAAGCAGGAGTGATCTAATCCTCTCTTCAACTAGAAGACACGGGATGTAAGAGAGGAAAAAAATAAAACTCGGATGAATCTGAGGACTTGATGGGTTGGTACACTCAGGAGAAAGATAAATATCATAGATCAATCATAGGTGTCCTAAGGCAAAAACATCATAGTATACCTTCGAGTGTTGGAGTCTTCCGGATGTCAGTAAAATAGCTAGTATACTCAGGATAAAGATTAATATCATGGATTAATCATAGGTGTCCTAAGGCAAAAACATCATGGTATACTAGCAGATAAAGGATTATGACTGAATGACCTTAAACATTGCTGGGCCAGTGCACTCAAGACAATGTTTAACGTCACAAATCAATTAAAGGTATCCTACGGCAATACATCATGGTAGATTTAACCAATTGGGGACTATAATGGGATGATGAGAAAAGTGCAGGGCTCGAATACTCAGGATGGGGGTGAATATCATGGAGCAATCATAGATTCGGGAAAAAGCATCATAGTATTCAAGACAGATGAAGGATTGAGATTCGAGGATGAAAACATTGCTGAGCTAGTGCTTTCAGATTGTGAATGGATACTTTGGAAATTTAGACTTGTTCCAAGGCCAAGCATCATAATATAGTTAACAGATAAATGACAAGTGATTGAATGATGAGAAAATTGCTAGGCTCGTATACTCAGGATATAGATGAATATCACGGAACAATCATAGGTGTCCTAAGGCAAGTGCATCATAGTATACGAGACAAACTAATGATTGAGATTCAAGGATGAAAACATTGCTGAGCTAGTGCTTTCAGATTGTGAATGGATACTTCGGAAATTTAGACTTGTTCCAAGGCCAAGCATCATAATATAGTTAACAGATAAATGACAAGTGATTGAATGATGAGAAAATTGCTAGGCTTGTATACTCAGGATATAGATGAATATCACGGAACAATCATAGGTGTCCTAAGGCAAGTGCATCATAGTATACAAGACAAACCAAGGATTGAGATTCAAGGAATAGAAAATCTCTAAGCAAGTGTAAGTACTCGGAGTGTTGACTGTTGGTGGATTAAGAGGAGCAATGAGACATGCCCTGATACAAAACATCAAGGTTTTTGCAAATTATTGCAGGGTCTACTGGAACTGTGATGTTAATCTTCAAGAGTATCTTCAGGCATGTATACTCAGGTCCAAGTTTCTAAATCATTGACCATTCATGGAACTAAGGTGTAGACATCACAGTAGACATGCTCAGTGTCAAAGGCTATTCAAAAGGATGTTTTGGTGTTAGTAATGATGAAACTAAAATGGAATGAAGTTGTTTTCCTACTAGATAGAATTAAATTCTGATTCAAACTTTACAAGAACATAGGTAAAATCATTGAATACTTTTGAAAGAAAGCAGAGATAATTGAGAAGTTGAATACCTACTAAGTAACGATCGTATAAGTATACTCAGGGACAAAAAGTTAATATCATGAACTGTTCATAGGTGTCCTAAGGCAAAAACATCATTGTATACTCAACGCAATCAGAGTTAAAGGGGTCTGATACCTTACAATGTAGTGGCTAAGGCTGAATTGAGCCTTTCTTCACTCGTTTAAAGTCCTGACAACACCTCAGCACAAGAACTTATTGCTTAATTTCTTTACATCTTGGTTGGATGTTCTTGATCAGTTCTTAAAAATTAACTGCATTAAAAATGGAAAAATTTTTCTTCCGCAAGAACTAAAATTCATCAAACGATACCAAGGCATGACTTGTCAAACTTTCGCACAAAAATCTGACACAGAAAGGGGGTGTGTAAAAAGGATGGAAATATTTACCTTACAACTGAGAATGTTACCGAAGGCAGAGAATGTGTCATACATGGCTTTGTTGTCAATACTTTTGTCAAGGTTCTTAATGAAGACGTTTCCAACACCAGATTTCCTCAAAGAGGGATCACGTTGGGACCACATGATACGAATAGGGCGTCCTTTCAAGGCATCAAAGTTCATTGTGTCAAGAGCTCGTTCAGCTGTGTTGAAAGAAAAAGAGGGAAAATTACAACTTGCCACTTGGTTTAAAAATCCGCAAAATCAGGAACTGTAAAAAGTTAATCGAAACCAAAGATATCTGTCTCGCCGAGTTGGCGATCAGTTTAACAGTATGGGATTAATAAGATTATCTTGAAGGCAGACTACAAATTTAATTGAAGTTACTAGATGGTAAATAGTTGGATTGATAGAATGGAAGGATTCACATTTTTTCATGATCTCCCTCTTGTCAGAATTTTGTGCCTCTGGGACTCTGTAACCTCAGACTAATTGGACTGCATTTTGCAATTTGGAACTATACATTCTGGCTCTTCTGATAAAACACGTAAGTGCATAGGGAAACTAATGGCACTTACGTTGATTTTAAACCGGACTAGAATTTATGGTTCCAAATTGCAAAATGTGGTCCAATTAGGACTTTTAAATCCAAACCACAGAAGATTATGAACAGCTTTACTTTTCTGCGCAGTCAAGCCCATTCTATACATTCCAGAGGTACTTCAGGATAGCTCTTTCATGGTGAGTTGCAAAAGATCCTAACCTCTTGAGGCAATGTTTGGAAAACGCTGATAACTGAGATAAACCAGATCCATTGCAAACCCATGGATGAAAAACAGCACTCAGAGTATTGAGTTTGCTATCAATTCTTTCTACAATTTTCACAAAATCATTAGAAAATCCTCATAGACCTAGAAAAATTGCTCCGCTAACTTTCCCAGACAGATTTCTCTACATGTACAGATGTGATTTTCAGCAACTTGATTTTACATGTTCGTAGATGCATATAAAGCCATCCACCTTAGTCACCAAGAGGGGCCACTTTGCAACTTGGGCGATAGAAAAAATATGGAATTCTGCCACACCTAACCATCTCCGCGAATCGGAGTTTTATACATACTTACCAATAGGAGAGATTGCAGGTTCATGTTAAAAAAAAAAAAAAAAAAAAATGTTGACCCCTATTTACTTCAGTAAATGGTGTGCTTGTACTAATGGTGTGTTTTGATGATATGAAATTCTTACGATTGTGACATAATCTGACCATGGGCTAAGAGCCATGTTAGGTATCACCGTTGCCTACGAGAATGGAGGGGCTGTAACTAGTCAGTTTTGTATGTCAATCTAGTAGATATTTACAGAAAACAACAAGCATCTCCGGGTCATCGGTGCATTGATGAGTGAGGCAGTCGCTGCATGGACCAATCAGAGTGGCCCACAATCGGCTGAAGTTGCACGAACGGTCCGCAATTCACCGAAGTTGCGCGAGCGTTTAGTTTGAATCTGAGTGGAGTACGGATTTTCAGTAGTACGCTTACATTTCCTCGATGATTAGACAGTGTCACATATCGGTTAGGTAGTTTTCTAAAGTGAAATTTCATCCTCTTCCGAAGAGGTTTTTATACATTTTAGCATCAGTACAACCCTCGAGAAGATATCAGCATGAGAGAAACACACATCTCCCATAAGAACGCACGTCAAACCGTGGCCGAGTTACGTCTACTAGCAGGACGTCACAGAAACAAAGTTACGGCCTCTCCATTCTCGTAAGCAACGGTGTCACATGAAACTTTAATGGCGCCTTGATAAAAGTAGCACACAAGAGAACAAGGGAAAACCTAATCTCTGAACGGGCGTTAGTTTGCTTTGCATCATGCCATGGGGAAATGTACGGAGGCGTCGTCACATGGTAAGTTGCACGCCCTGGTAAAGTCTCTCTCCTTCACTGTCCATGGCCCCAGTTAAAAACGAACAAAATAAGAGACTTCTTTAGGCCTTAACAAAATGAGTGTTGGAGATACGAATGGAATGCAGTTCAAGGGACAATACATGGTGCTATAAACAGCACTGACAGCTGGAGAGATCGGGCGCAGCAATCAATAGGAATCTAGATGAGTTGGCAAGATTCATCTCTTCAGCATGGTGTTTGAACCTGAATAAAATAAATGCATACCATCAGCAGGTTGCTGGAAGTTAACGTAGGCATAACCCAAGGATCGGCGGGTGATCATGTCTCTGCAGACTCGAATTGACAGGACAGGTCCTGCAGTGGAGAATTTTTCAAAGAGCATGGCCTCTGTGACATCTTGATGAAGGTCGCCGACGTAAAGCGACGCCATCGGGTAGTTAGGACCTCCAGGACCGGAATTCATCTTGCTTTTTTGTGAGTGGCGTTAAAGATTAAAAGAAGAAAAGGGCAATTGGCAAGAATCAGAAGCCTATTTTCACTTCCGATGTAGGGAAAATGGATGCCCCGACCACGTTGCACAACGGAAACACACGCACGAACTTGGAATATTCTCTCCCCTTAAACGAACTTACACGCACTATTTTTTTGTTATTTTAATTATATTTTGAATTTTTTTTGTATTTTTATGTTTTTTTAAAAAAATTAGTCTAAATAATAATTAATCATGAGTTGTGTGACCTAGCAGCCAGGACACAACCTCACGCGAAACACAGAGCGCGAAATGCGGAATGGGTACTGGGTAGGGTAAAGTTGGTGACGAGACACGGCCGCTGTCTGTGAGCCAATCAGATGCCAGTATGATGGCACATGACCAGGGACAAAGTTACCTACGCGCTCCACGTAAAAAAATAGTGCATTTTTAATCATTTGATAGATTTATTTTATTTATTTAATTGTACAAATGTTGAATATTTGAGTTTTTAAATCTAATTTTAAACTAAGAAACATGTTATTAGGGCAAATTATTTCATTTTATGCGTTAATGAATTGAAAATTTGAAACATCCGCTACAAATTGGCGCATGAATCCTACGTGCGCGCAGCAACAGTCGAATCGAATCCTCGATTCATGACTCACTGCTGCATAGCCACATTTCAGCCCTTGAAATCAAATAAAATTATTTATGACATCTGGCACAGCTCATACATCTCAACGCAGTCAGCTGATCAGAATGTGGCGCCTGGCGCTTAGGTTTCGTTGGTTTCCCAGAAGAATTTCCGAGAAGACACATTCCTTCTTCCTCTTTCTGACCACCCACATACCCATGTTGGACTGATAAGATAGAATCAGAATGCCTATGTTTAGTTACTTACCTTCATGCTACGGTAATGTATGATACATCATTTCCCATCAATTTTTAACGAGGAATCCGAATCTGAGCTTAGATTTTGGATAGCTCGCGTTTTAATTAAAATATGCAGGAGAAATAACGGGGTGTTCCTAAATTCATCACGCGGTAAGGGGCCGTCCATAAATTATACGTATAAGGCTCTTTAGAGAGAAAGGTGGGTCTCTAACAGCCTTGCGATGCCTTACGAGGGGGGAGGAGTTAAGTGGTAGGGCTGAGCCTTACGTAAGCTTTCCGCAGCTTTTATTTAAAGAAAATACAAAAATACATTTTACGTCAGGTTGAAAATAAAATTTAAGAAGAAATAGAGGAAATCAGTAGATCACCGACAGCTGACCAATCGGACCATACTCCTTGAATACTTCCTATGAACTTTCCTCAAAAATTCAGTTTCACTAATACAAATTTTGGCCTAAAAATGACATTGTTTTTCTAAAAGAAAAAGTAATGCATCGGTCTATAATAATTGAAAAAAGAAGGGGGGGGGGATCAGTTGAGCCTTACGTAATTTTTAGAGGGGGGGTAAGGGATGCCTTACAGTGCCTCGCAAGGGGGGGGGCTAAAAAGGGGAAAAAGTGACTTACGTAATTTATGGATGGCCCCAATGGTTTTTTTTCTTTCGTGCTTTCATTTCTTTTCCTTTCCCGCAATTTTTTTAAATATATTTTATCGGTCACAACTTTAGCTACGCTTCCTTAAGACGAACAAGAATGAAAAATCCCGTGTCCTGTTTGGGATCGTTTAGGTATAAATTACGTCATCCATTTTGCTCGACTTTTGAAGGTACGGAACCTTAGGCGCGTCTGTCCGCGGCGTCCTGACGCCGCGGAGAGACGCCGATGAATCTGCCAATCTGCCTGATGATTTTGCGTACCCGTCCCTCCCCCTTTGCATGTCCCCTACATGCAACTCACCTACATTGCAGCCCTCCTCTTAAGAATTCCGTCATTTTAAGCGTAGGTATCACCGCTTCTTTTTGCGAAGTTGTTGGTGCAAACCTGCACCACAAGTGCGGGCCCGCCACAAGGGGGGGGGGATACTGGGTCCCTGGTACCGGGGCCCGGGCCCCGGAGGGAACCCGTGTTACCCGTGAAAAACCTCTACGAATTCACATGCAACCCTTGTTACGTGAGAAAAAGGGAAAAATTTACCCTAAAAATTTCGCAAAAGGTGAATAGATTTTTAGAAACACGCTGGGGCACTGTAGTATTCTTTTTACAAGTATACAATTCTAGCTGGAGCGCACTTCAGCTATGCATTCACCAGCGCAAAAATGTCAAAGGAAATCGACAAGCCAAGCTTGCATGGAGGCTGTTCCCATTTAAATCTTCAGTCACATTCTTACGGCGCAATGATATAACTATTTGAACTCTCCGGAATGCGTGAGGTATCACGCCGCATTTGAAGGCGTTTTCAAAACAGCCAAGTTCCGTTATCGGATTAATCGTTCTGCATAGTTCATATTATTTTGTTTCCATTTCTAACCACTTGTTTAATTATAATCCTCCTATAAAAACCACCCATTTGCTACATACAATTCTAGCTGAAGCGCACTTCAGCTATGCATTCACCAGCGCTAAAATTTCAGAGGAAATCGACAAGCTCAGCGTGCATGGAGGCTTCTTCATTTAAATCTGCCGTCACATTCTTACGGCGCAATGATACAACTATTTGAACTCTTCGGAATGCGTGAGGTATCACGCCGCATTTGTAGGCGTTTTCAAAACAGCCAAGTTCCGATACCCGGATTATCGTTTTGTATAGTTCATATTCTTTTGTTATATTCCGTACCGCTCGTTTATTTTTAATCCTCGTAGAAAAACCACCCATTTGCTAAATACAATTCTAGCTGGAGCGCACTTAAGCGCATTCATAACTGCAAAAATTTTAACGGAAATCGAAGAGGCCAGCGTGCATGAAGGCAGGCCCGCCACAAGGGAGGGAAAATTGGGTCCTTGGTACCGGGGCCCGGGTCCCGAAGGGGGCCCGTGTTACCCATGAAAAACCACTACGAATTCACATGCAACCCTTGTTTCGTAAGAAAGAGTGAAAAATTCACCCTAAAAATTTCGCAAAAGGTGAATAGATTTTCAGAAACACGCTGGGGCACTGTAGAATTCTTCTTAAATTTTCAAACAAGTATCCTTCTTGGAAAACATCTATCTTTTTTCAAGATTTTCAGTACAGGGGGATATTTTTAGTAACTACGTTTCATTTTCTTTCGTCGTCAGATGCTAAGAGTCTCCAGTCTGGGCATCTTAGACTTCAATGGCTCATGGCTCAACTCCCTTGCCATAGTTATACGAAGGGGGAGTCCAGGGGGGTCTGGCCCTCTTAGAACCGAAAATGGTATCATATATATCCCCCCCCCAAAAAAAAAGAAAATTTTTGCAGATGTTTTGAATGCAATATTTCGCAAGTATATTGTGCTGAAAGTATAAAAAAAAAAAAAAAAAAAAAAAAAAAACATAATTATTCCGCAGAAATTGATGGAAAAATTCTTCACGGAAGCTTCAAAATGCGTCCAATTAGTCGTATAAATTCTAAAATTTCTCGGGGATGCCCCTCGGACCCCCCCCCCTTCGTGCTTGGGGCCCGGACCTTAAAACTGGTACCAGGGCCCGAGATGGGATGTGGCGGGCCTGCACAAAAGAATCACACATTAATACTGATGTTAAAAATTACTCGAAAATAACGTCGAGCACATTTGGAAATTCTAAAATCAGTCATTCTCTCATTAAGTTGAATGCTTAAAGTCTCTTCACTATGCTTCAAAAGTATACTACGGCAGTACTCTCTTTCATGAAAAAAAGCAAAAGAGGTAGGTGTTTAGTGAGTGAAAGAGTGAGTTTTAGTGTTTGCCAGTGTGCTCAACGTTATTTTCGAGCCATTTTACATTGGAATTGGACGCACTTCTACCAAAAGAGAACAACATATGTGCATTTTTCAAACTTTCCAGTGGAGAAAGTTTTGCTAAAACCATCGGTGTTTCTGCTCTGATGGATCAATTTTGAATGAACAGAAAAAGTATAAACCTTTTGGTCCATTTGAAGTTCGCCTTCAAATGGGCAGTATAGGCAACACACATACCGAGGAACACTAGTTACATATGAACTGCATTTTGCAATTCGGAACTATTATAAATTCCGGCTCTTCTGGAAAAACACTTATGTGCATAGGGAAACTAATGAACCATACGTTGTTTTTAAACCGGGCTAGAATTTATTGTTCCAAATTGCAAAATGTAGTCCATACGGAACAAAAGGAACAAAAATATTGTCCCCATCTATCGTGCCTCTGTTCGTCAGCAGACCGAATAATGATGCCATGAAGTAGACATCAAAATAAAAGTGATGAGGTAATAAAGTAAGAATGAGTATTACAAAACAATTTCAAACTACAGAGTATTCGTTATTTCAGTTTATTGTTCATTTTTATTTTACACTATTCTGACTGCGTTTCATTAAGTTGTGTGAGATCGTCGAGAAATGATTACATACATGCTCCATCAACTGCATTTTTCGCCACCTTTTTTCAATTTTGAATCGACGGCTATCAGTTCTACGCCCTCCTGAAAAACAAATAAAGTTATTTTGATCACAATTTTTACCTTAGAACTTGACATATCGGAAAGGATAACACTAGTGTAAGAAATTTTCAAGGTTAGTTTAATAGCGCAATGGCTAGGAGGGGCATCCATTTCATCGGAAAATTTACGATTGGTCGGAAGGCCATTGTACTGAGGATTTTTTGCCATTTATGTGTGAATACTTTTAATATGAGTGCGTCTCACATCGTGAATTAATATACACCAACGTAAAAGGTATGAATTTTTTAAACCCATTTTTATCCGAGTATTATGACTCTAATATTGAATCGATCAACACTCATTGAAGTCACGATAATTGTCAAACATTTCAATCTGCATGGGACAAAGTTTTAAACTTTTTCGGAACTATATCATCTAAATATTAAAATCAGGATTTATTCCTTAACAATGTCTCAAAAACTAGGTGTATAGAAACTAGAGTATTGTGGCACCCTAAAGCATTGATCAGCCAAAATTATTGAGCAGATTCTGCTCAGAATAATTGCACAGTGAAAAAATTGAAGTTCCACCTACATTTTTTGGATACTACCGCAGATCTCCCTCAAAATACCAAAAATTAGGGAAGGAAGGGCCCTGTGCGTCATAATGATAGCCGTCCCCTGGTAAAAATTGGCGATAGAAGTGCGTCTCAAAAGACCATAGGAGTTCTAATAGCCGACTAAAGAAGGCTATTGAAAATCATATAGCTGGCTGTAGAAAGCGGAGCAAATCATACAGCCGGGCTATACGAAGCTATAAAAAAGGATACAGTCGGTCTATAGTTCCTATCGCCGGGCTTTACACTTTATCGTCATTGGCTATAAAAGGCTATAGGAAATTGTGTAGAAATTCGTGTGCTTTGGAAACCATTAAGTTTGATACGGAACTACCTCAATATTTACAAAACACACATTATATTTTCCTTTAAAACACATTTTTTTTTCATCAATTAAAATGAGAATAATCCATACAGAGTGTGCAAACATTTCAAAATCATGAGTTGAAAAACGCTGACTCCGCGATATTAAAAATTAGAGCCTAACACAAACGGAGCGGCGACGCACTGGCGCCTACAAACCTAACAGGGATGCTTCACGCATTGCGCAAACGCGCATGGACGCCTACAAACCTAACAGGGATACTTCACGCATTGCGCAATGCGTGCAAGTTTGCATTGATCACTGTTTGAAGATAATTTCAAGTTCACATAGAGTTCAACTGCTAACATTTATGATATCTCAGCAGGACTTCATTTCTACCAACTTCAAACTTACCGGACTAATGGCGCTCTGTATCCCAGAGCTAGACTTGTCTTCAGCGAGGAACCTGTAGATAACAGGTGACAGTAGATCCCTGTCAACTTTCTTCGAATCAGGTCTCAAGTTACTGACGAGTAGACCCACGCTGATAGTTATGAATAGTCCTATCAAACCGTACCACATGTAAGAAATCCTAAACATGTACAATGGCTCCATTGCCACCTCAAGGTTGCTTCTGAAAATATAAAAATAACGTAACTTTATCGCTCTTTGAACAAAAATTTCCTGGAAATATATCAATTATACGATAGCGTCACAAATGCTCAAGACACTTATATTACCTACCAGGAGGAAAGGACCTGGATTCTCCTTTGTATAATAGCCACTGCATGCCCAGTTGGATTTACCTATAGTTTCGTTTCTGTACAGAACTCGATTGTGTCCCGTAATGCGCACTTCCAGCGTATTTAATCCCTCATTAATTTTCTTTGTTTTTCATCAGGATGTTTCGGAAAGTATACTAACCTCAGCGTGAAAATGAGAAATTCCATTGATTTTACCTAATCTCTAGGAGACGAGTTCAGTAAAAAAAAGGGATGTATCCGTAATAAATATTTGGCGCTCAAAGCTACTTCAAATTTAACAAAAAGCAAGAATAATTTCATAATCCGCTCTGGAGTTTGTAAGTAGAAGTTTGTGAGTATAAGACGATTATGGTCATAAATGGAGAAACCATTTTCTGATTGGCTCAGCCATCATAGGCTCAGGCTCAGACTTAGTCCATCATCGAAAGTTCCAAAATTATTACAATAAGAAGGCGAATGGATACCGCAACGTAGTAAAATTTTGTTATAACATTCAGATGTCCCATCGAGTTTACAAACTTTGGCTACTTTTAATTCCGCATACTTACTCAAGCGTCAAAATCGAAGGAGCTGTGGGCGTAAACAGATGATCGAGAGGCTCCTTGCAACCTGACACGTTCACAGATTTTGTTGGAAACTTGATGAGACCTTTGGAAATGACCGACTGAGCGCCAAGTGAGATCCAACCCATGGTACATAGCGCCGTAATTCCACCTACCAGAGCACCCTTGAAAATAAGAAATCCAGTTGAGGCCATTTTGTTGAATTAAATAAAGTAATTTGTAAAAGTCATCATGTTTCATACGTTTTTTTAAAAAAAGTCCTCCTTTTTTTATCCTTATGGAATCGTGGTAGTCTAAAGTCTAATATTTTTGAAGTCAAGCATAGCATGGAATATTGGAACATCTATAGCATGCGCAGGGTGACAACATTTCATGGAAAATAAAATCTTGAAATTTTACATGAAATATTACGTGAAATATTACGTGAAATTTTAGAAATGTATGAAAGATATTAAAAAATACCGGTTCCTTTAAATATTTTGCAAAATGTAAAAATTGTGACTTTCCTGTATTTTTGTGTGTTTGAGTGCGGGTTGCATACTCTAGCCCCTGAAAAATATGAAATATTTGACAGCCTAGTGAAATTTCATGAAATATTTCGCTGAAATTTCAAATTTTTTATTTATTTCTAACGTTTCATGCCACCCTAAGTAAGTATGCGCAATTGCGCATGCCTGCCTCTTACAGGATTCTTGGGCGGTTTTGCCCCCATTATTGACCTCTCATACGTTTGGCGGGGATTTCACTCTGAAATCTGAAAGCATTTCACTCCTAGGCCTATTTTCTCCCTAAACCACTCGAATGACATGGATAAGTTGAGAAATTCACTTCGTGGGAGCTCGCTCTCTGTGGTTTGGAATTTGAAAAAGGTATAAAATACGTAATGATCTGGATGGAAGGTAACTTACAAAAGCGTTCGCGGATGGGAAGAACATTCCGAGAGTAAAGAGACCCAGAAGAGGTCCATTCATAACATTAAAACACTTGGGTGATATGTATAAGTTGAGTTTGCTTCGTAGGAGTTCGCTCTTTGTGGTTTGGAATTTGAAAAAGGTAAAAACACATAATGATCTTGATAGGAGGTAACTTACAAAAGCGTTTGCGGATGGGAAGAACATTCCGAGAGTGAAGAGACCCAGAAGGGGTCCATTCGTGATTCCGAGGAGACTTTTGGTCATTTGGAAAAGAGTTCCCAGTTGCTCAACGACGAAGACCATAGAGACGCACAGGATTCCGATGAGGACAACGACTAATTTGAGGACGCGACCCGTGGCTCGCTCAGATAGGCCCCCCGTCCACGGTTCAATCATGTCCTCGAATATTACTCCTGTCATACTGTTCAATCCTGTAGACATTGTGCTGTTGTCACATCGAGTCCATGAAATAAATATGACAAAAGATGAATTAAGATACATAAAATAGATTAATCTAAAAATACATCTGCACAAGGAACGTACAATATAAAAGAGCTGCCTAAAGAAAATATCTTATACACGTGCTCAGGGTTACCGAAAGTCCCTTCACCCCCCCCCCCCCCNCCCCCCCCCCCCCTCTAAATTGAACGTATTTCTGCCAAACGGAACTATGTGCATTAAGACATGAGCCCTGAGATCTATAAGAATGCATGCATAACAGGGCTCACGTCATAATGCACATAGTTCCGTTTGGCAGTAATACGTCCAATTTTTCCTGATCGAAACGGAGATTTGAAACTTGGGGTGCGTTCTCAAGTTTATGTTCTTTCGGACGAGGTATCATAAGAAGGTTCTTTCCAGTTGAAAAAAGTTTTGGTCCGTTCCTCACCTCTTTAAAGGATGCCAATCTTGAACATTTTAGAGGGGATGGGGGGCAAAAAGTAGCTCTCTTTGAAATTGAAACGTCCTCCAAGTTTCAAATCTTTATCACACTAGGTAAAAAGTTAGAGGGGGTGGAAGGGACAATTGGATCACGCTGTTTACGACAGACGTGTCGTCATGCACCGCCGCCCCCTTTACACCCCCTCAGATTACCAGAACCTACATACATCTAAGGTCACTGGCCCCAACCCGTGGTCACGTAACGTGCAAAATTCTTGTTTACCTCCCACCAGCAACTAGAGCATTTTCGGGACCAATTCAATTTCAAATTAAAAAGTATTTTTCAAAAAAATGCTATTATAAATTTTCTCATCAAGAAATGTTTCAACATATTGTTCAGTTTGATTGTTGTAGTCAAAATTATCCTTTAAGTTGAGCGGCACTTCGCGCTGTATTCTTCATAGCAGGTTTGCTTACTTTCTTCACCGTGCGTTTAAGTTCCCAGGCCAACAGTCGACTCTTTAAATAATTTTCATTGTGAAAGAGGGTTGACTTTGTCCAACCTGTGGATTGTCTGCAAGTTTCTTCCCTATTTCTTCATTTGTTTGGGGACATTATCCCTTAGATGCCCAAGAATCTTTTCATATGAAAAGTCCTAAGTCCGTTCAATCTGACCCGAGAAATATCAAGAAATCGAAATGTCACGGAAGTTTTTGTTGAGTATAGTTTACCATTTAAAAAAATAAGTATGACAAGGAGTCTGCAACGTCGCAAACAGAGATATGAGTTGTGGAGTGTTATCATCGGCATGGAAATTGGTCAGGAGAAAGGAAGTGCGTTGATGACGGCGCGGCGTAGAGATACAACTATTCGGGCTTGATGGATGTCCGTATTGCATCTGCAAGATTGAAGGCGCGATGGCGCGAGGCGTAAACTCGAAATTCCCCGCTGTATGTTACCAAGTGTCAAATGCCAATAAGGTGTCGCTCTCATTCGAGAGAAAAATTGAAAAACGAGGCCTGAATGCGTCTCTGCTATCTTTCCCTTTGGTGATACTCGATTTTATTATTTTCATTTTGATGCCTGATTATTTTCTTTGACGATATATTTTTGTAGACCTATCTTAGGCTCGCGTATGTACCGGTCCCATGCAACTCGAGGTTCACGTGCATTTAGCAAGCCTCGGGTCAATTTGACCCAGTTTGAGCATCCGAGGGTTAACCGTGGACAACCGTCCTCATACTCAACACTTTCTCTTTCTAAACCGTTCAGTCAAATGGTTTAATCAACTCACCTTAAAGCTGCACTAAAAACTCCAGATAAGAATATTCCCGGCAGTCCTGGCATTATTGTTGAGGTCTCCATGACAAAATACGGCAACAGCTGGTCAGCTTTACTGATTTTCTATAAGGTTACACAAATAAAATAAGAAATTTATATACATGGTCACATTTACTTACCATCCCGGCTCAGTTTTTTCCTCTTTTCATGAGTTTAGGGTTAGTTGTATAATGTATACTCAAACTACATGAGTTTACTTGCTCATTAAAATATTAACCTCAGCAAATCAATAAGAGTAATTAAATGAACAATTTACAATTTCCTGTCACTAGATCATGTGCAACAAATCATAAAACTCATGAAAACATAGGTCCTTGAAGATATTTTGGACCTGGAGTTTATCATTGCTTAAATATGATGAAAGTAAAAAAAGAGGAAAAAACTACCACAACTGTTTTGTATGTTGTGATTTTCTTTCACAGTGTTTTATATTCTGTTAAATTCCGACGTGAGGCGCAATTATGTTCGTGTATTCTGTCATGTTGTGATCTGATTTTTGACCACGACGGAGGACGACCCACGAATCTGAAAGATCTTTTAGTGCATTCCTAATTGTATAAATTTTTTTCACACATTTTGGTATACGACATTTTGCATATCTTACTTAATTAATCTAATGAATTTTAGGTACGTTGTGTTACGTTTAATTTAGCAATCGCATTGAGGGTGTCTACTTAAAAACTATGATTCAAAATTTTGGAGCGCCAAGCGCCGAGATTTTAAATCACGGAAAGTTCAAATTGCCAATTCAAAACTCAAAACGTTTAAAACCGGGTAAACTGGCCCTGAGATTTGTCAATTTTCAAGCTAACCGTTGAGCAGAGACTCTGTATACATATTTTTCCTTGTACTTAGGCTAGTAAAACTTTAGATTTTGAAATAAATATCCAGATTTTATTAATCTTTACACTGGTTTATTTTTATGATGTGACATATGTCATAACCAATGTAATTCTAAAATAGGACTCACCTTAGACTTAATGGGATCACAATCAAAGAAATAGGCGTGCATGACGAAGCCAGTGAGAGTGCAGAGTGTCACGATACAAAAAATGCCAGCTGTCAGGATGAACATTGCCCTGAAAAATGAAATGACATCAAGATAAGTTATCCACCTAACCAACACCTTTCATCCGCCTATTAAAGAAACAATACGTTGATGGACCATTCCATTAGCTTGAAACGAAATCACAGTGAAAAAGCAGTATTTAATTTGAACCGAGTATACGGGAACCAAGCTGCAGTGTGGGCGAAAAATGAGTTGGGAGTAGTTTAAAAGTTAATTAGTCGTTTTTCTCCTGTCGAAAATTCAAAATCAAGAGAATTATTTTGAACGTGAAAAATTAAATAAACTTTGTCATTAACATCGAGTCTTACGGAAGTTTACAAATTTACCTAAACCTGTTTTTCCCTTTCCAAACTTGATACGACCTAATGTGTTTCTATTAAACTCAGCTCGTTTGTATAACATTGTCGAATACTGTTAGTGCTGCAGGTTGTTTGTCAATCGTCCTTTAAAGTAAAAATGACTGGTATGATACGATCTTTATCATCGCTTAAGCTCCTTTTTGCAAAAAAGCCACGGAGATACAACTGCCGAAGAGAAATTTGACGGTGGATTACTTCTTCAATTTCTATTTTTTTCATGATAAATCACGCACAGAATCAAATAGAGTGAAACAGTTAGTATCAGTTCTGTCAAGTAATTTTTAACATGATTCACTACAAGGTAAACTTTTTAGATGTTGTAACGTTGTAACTTGTAAGCCCTAAAAACTTGGGTGAATGAGGATTGCTAAACGGAGAATGATCTCTGGCCTACTTTGAAAATTGAAGGCGTATTCGCCGAAAAGATGATTCTGTTTCCTCTAAATTTTTGGTGTACAATGCCAACTACATGGACTCAGAATTACTTTTCAAGTCGTTGAGAATTTCAAAATTTCAGGGTGCTGTAATGATACAATTTTGTTTTTTAAACCAAATAATTTGAAATTTACCGCTCATTTTCTGATAATTACCATTTAGCGTGGCGAATTGAGGAGACAGAGAGACAGCGTTGAACCATACATTGATTGACAGCCATTGTGGCCACGTGATAAACATAGTTCCCGAGTAACATGTTCCACAATGTGTGTCGAACTGTTGGGTCTAAATCTGTGCTGGAAAGAAAAAAATTGATCAGATTTTGATAAACAAGAAGCCTAGCTGCTATAAGAGACCATATATGAACCACGTTACTCTCTAAGGTAGAAGTAGCTGTCTGAGCCTGCGTTTTGAGTGCATTACAGAGGGAAGGGAATCTATGAGGCTTGTGTTACGTAACGCTAAAATCTCTGGTGCGCGCTGATTTTTCGAAAATCTCAAGATGAAAAACCGATGTGAGGTGGCAACTTTTTATCCATAAATGCATCCCAAAATGCTAATTCGAGAGGGAGGTAACAGTAATTTTTGCAGGGGGGTGAATTAAATCTAACTTTAACGTGAGGTAAACATCTATTAAAATGGACTACATTTTGCCATTAGGAACTAAAATTTCTAGCCCATCACTCGTGTGCATAGGGAAACCAATGGTACGTACATCGTTTCTTAACTGAACCAGTTATTGTAGTTCCAAATTTTAAAATACAGCCTAAATCGAAGTAATTTAAGTTTGCGAAGACTCCATAAGAAATTCTTTTGGAAGAGATTGTTGAGAAGTGAAAACTACTACTCGATCTATTTATTCGTGCTCAACAAAGCGGGAGTTTCGTGATATGTGTAAATTATACATCAAAACTAAATGAGTTAGACAGAGCTGTTAATTCCTCGATCAGTGTCACAAATCGTATAACATATCTGATCGTAACTACATATCAGTATCGTTGAGTCAGAGGGTACCTAACTCATTATTAAAAAAAGCGCTGTAGTGGCGTTCCGAAAATATTCAATAGCGACTCCGTTCCGATTTACATTGGAATCAACGGGGCCGACCAGGGCCGGATTTACCTACTTGCCGCCCATGGGCCGCCTGTATTTTGCCGCCCCCTTCTCATTCAGTATTGAAACATCAATAAAAACCACCAAGTGAACGTGCCACCGGGGGAGGGGTGCATAAGACGCGTTTACTCGTGTTGAACACATGTTTTAGGAATGCCCTGTCAACACTACTAGCAAAAGTTAAGTTTCGTAAACCTATCTCTGTGTGGATAATGCCTTCCATTCATAAGAAATGAACGAAAAAATTATGAAAGAACAAACATGAATGTGGTTTAATGATTTTAATTTACACCGCTGCGCCGCGCAGACCGCACCGAGTTTGGCGCAATGCGTGAAGTATTCACGCAGTCTTGTAGGCGTCATGCGTTTCACGCTCACCGCACTGTGTTTGATGCAATGCGTGAAGTATTCTTGCAGTATTGTAGGCGCTAATATGTGTTACATGCCGATCGCCGCGCCGAGGGCTTCTCCTTTTCATCTCAAGTCCTCGTCATCATTGCTCTCTGCGCCGCGCCGTTCCAGGCCAAATTGTGTGTTTGGTTTCTCTCTTAACTCGACTAATTAAAGGTGCTGTCTCTATTGTATCACCGAAAGACGACAAAACTAGGAATTACTATACTCTCAGGAAATGAGAGATTTTATCGCCTTTTCTCGTTTGTAATTGTTTTGTCTAAATCCGATATTTTTTTATACCTACATTTAAACAAATTGCAAAATTTGCCGCCATGAGTCGCGGCCCATGTAGCCACCCCCTTAATCCGGCCCTGCATGGGGCCGACGAGCGGTTTTTCCCTGATATATCGAAATTACTAAAATGGATTTAGGTACTTTTTGACTCCAAGTATTGATATGATACACATAACTACCTTAAGGGTTCTTTTCCATCAAAATTTTAACTACAGTTATATTTCAGATGCTGGAAAAGCATTAATTTTGCTAGCAAAAGTAACTACCACTGATTAGCATTAGTTCAGAGTCTTACTTGAAAAATTCAGCGCGTGAAGTTTCGACTGCTCTGTCGTAAACTATTCCTAATCCACCCACTTTGACGATACCAATGATCAAGACTACGACGATCCCTCCCATCATGAGGAACATTTGCAAAGTATCTGCCCAAACCACCGCCTTCAATCCACCCTGCAAATAAACAATAGAAATTGTCTCAAAATTATCATTTGTTTCAAATTCTTGGAGATGACTTTTTATCAGATGTCTAGCAGTGGCGAGGCGTAAATGATCGATTATCGATATTTCCCCATTTGAAGCTATGGTAAAGAATCGATTATTAGGGTGTTCGTTGCAAGCACTCAATTTATCGATTCCTTCCCATAAGTTTTAATGGCAGATTGATCGATATATCTCAAAGCACGCCACGCCACTGATATATAGGATTTCAAATACTTATGATTCTATCTGAAGCGCTCATCCATAATGAGCTAATGCGGTTCTGCGGCCTGACTACTAAAAATTAATTTTTCGGCTACAGAATCAGTTGAGCTTGATCTTTGATTCATGCATTTGATAAGAAAAATTAATTCCTTATTATTTCAGCGGGTAAGCAACTATCACCACTCTAGATGTTGTGCCAAGTTAAAATCCTAGGTAGGGTGACCGTAAATGATTGTACCATACTTCTGTCGCTATTAGTTGGCATGGACGTGTCTTCTCTTTCTTATTTTCTTTTTTTCCTGGTGCTTCTTCTATCTTTGATTTCAGCTTGGAATTTTTATTTTTTACTATGGCATCGACTACGAAACTAAGGAATTCCTGTTTCATAAACTATGTCCATTTCGTGTTGTCTAAATATTGATGCATTTTTTTAAGCATCTAAACAATAAGATTTCAGATGAACCGATTGTCTGGTAAAAGTATGTCAAAAAATAGTGAGGATAATTATATTAATCTCACCAAACTTGTGTAGAAAATGCAGACGGAGCAAACGATCGGTGAAATTAGATGGAGATTAATGCCAGTTACTGAAAATAATAAAAAAAAAAACAGTTCGATTAATTACCAGCCTAATCGGCTAAAATAATACTGCCAATGTCAAGATAGACATCATAAGAAGACGCACATTTAACTGATGAGCAAGTAAATATGTTGATTTTTCCTCGAGTTATGCACTGATGGCTCCTAATGGACCTGTTTAAAAGATTTTTTATCCCCCTTCTCCATGTCGTCAAGAGTATGCAGAAAGCGTTGAATATTAAATGTATACCGTCAATCTTAAATCTTAAAAATTACATTAGGTTATGTCAACTCACATCTTAATCCACGTATTCCTCACAAAAAATCGGGGTTCCGCGTCATTTTCAGTCGTAATTTCCTTAAAATAAATGTGGCGTGTAATTCCGACTTTAGCGTGGCAGTGCAGGTGTAGTATGACGCGTGTCTACCCTAAATGTAGCCAAAGCGCCTTCAATTGTAGCGTATGCAACATACACAACCATGGAGCAGTAATAGTTGCGTGAGCAAGGCGTTGTCATTAGCGCGAGGCCCGTGACTCGTGGGTCTGTGCCTCTGAGCCCGTGACGTTCGCTTGTCAGAGTTGGAGGATTTGACGAGAGGATATCGATGGCAAATGAAGTAAGGCCACACTGAATTTCACTAATCGAGAAGCGATCCAATTGTTTCGATTTTATTTGAAGAATCACTGAATGAAGGCTTAGTGGAACCATTTACTGACACTTACTCACAATCCAGTAGCATCAGTTTAGCTGGAATTGAGGGATGCGCTATTCAACAATCAAGAAAGACAGTGGCGTGGCGTGTTTTGCGATAAATCGATTGATCCACCATTTAAACCTATGCAAAAGGATCGATAGACAGGGTGTTCGCAGCGAACACCATAATAATCGATTTTTTACCACGCCTCAAATGGGGGTAATATCTACAATCGATCATTCACGCCTCGCCACCGAAGGAAGATTACATGAGCATGAACCTGCAAAAATTAAACTTGCAGAAAATCAGTTGCTTACGGCTTCACAATAGTGGTGGTTCATGTTCATGCTGGCTTGAAAAATAAAAATTCAAGCAGTTTTCTCTTACAAATTTTCAAATAGTCTTCTTATTAGAAGTCTATTTGAGTGCATCCGTGTATTTGAATACCGATCGAATCGTCATTAGATTAAAATCAAATAATTACCTTTTTTTCTTACCTTGACTGAACGCCAACGCGGGAACATACACCACAATCGGAATGTACAGCATCTGAAAGCATGCACGAGGTAAAATTTCAAATGCAGTAATAAGGTTTTTTTCCCCTCTTTATTTCACAATCAATAAAACACATCGTAAAAGTTTGTCGCAGACAACATTTATTCTGGGAATGAGACGTAAAAATGCGCACTATTTTAAATTATAATCAGTAAATAATTTGTGCGAAGTTCAAAATATTATCGGTTTCAGATGGAAAATAATACTTAGAGGATTTTTTTTCTCAGAGATGAAAAACATGATTTTTTTGTCCTCGACCTAAATTAATTAAATTTTAAATCCAAGGGAACGTTATACATGGCTGTGATGTGCGAATCATGGAAGGGAAGGGATTTAATTTTGAATGTACTCACCATTTTTATCAAGAAGAGGCAGGTTCCAAAAAGTCGAACAGCCGGCCCGAATCTTCTATTCAAATACTGAAGGGAAAAATCATTGAATCAGTAGAAATAAAAAGAGTTACATGCTCACAGTGGATAGAATTCCAGTGAACAACAAGAAAATCACTCCATAAATTATACAGAATTTGATTGGTTGTAATGAGGTAATAAGGCTACTCTGTTTCATTCCAGGAAAATTGCTCAGTTTCAGTAGATACAAAAAACCCGTTCTCAGGCAATTTTGAAACGCTTCAATACTCGATTATTCAGCATTTCCAACATTGATGCGATAAGTACTTATATATATTGATAGAAAGTCCGGCCCTAGCCATGTGACGGATCTATCACGATCATTTCAGCTTCATGTTCATTTTTTTAAAATTCGGCTGAAGATGGGAGCTATTTTGCCCCGAAACGTCCCGTAAAATGTTTTAAACTTGTTTTAGCCTTGAGTCTGTACCTATTTTGTGTTTCCTGTTCATTCATAGAAATGTATATCTCAGACAAGTTTTAGATAAACCGCAACCTGCAACTAACGATCCTTTTTCCATGCCTCGAAGATTTCCAGAAATATGGTAGACCACAGCTGGAACATCCTACTTGACCACAAAATACTGTTCTTAAGATAACATGTCATGGATTTGTGCTTACCTGGTATATTTTTCGAAAGATATGTGCAATTTTTTATTCCTGTATTTTAACATAACCTAAAATTACCACATTAGAGGTGTTTCTTGTGAAGACATAATTCATCGTAGCCTTAATCAATAATGGTGGTATTTTTACTATTGGTGATGATTCCACTAACGTAGTGGTGAAAATACCATTTATGGTTAAGATTACCATTTATGGTTAAGATTACCATTTAAAAAGAGTTTCTTTGAGGTACCATTAAAATGATAAACTTAATCATAGTTTTTCTCACAGTAAATTGTGCCCGGCTTGGTGCTTCGATTTGTGCTGATTCACTCCGTTTTTAAGTACAATGTAACGACCAATTCTTCAATGTCGTTTTCTTTCCTCATAAAGGATTTTTCATGCACATCTCCATGTTTCATTTAAAGAGGAAGAAAATAAAAGATCAAATTGACTTTTATTCATACCTCATACGAGGAGGTGACTTGAAGCTTGAAGAACACTGGAAGGTAAACTATAACGATTGTGATGTTTGTGAGGATGTCAGAAATGACGCCCATGTACGCTTGAGACCCGTAGACGTAGATCTCAGCCGGTGTGCCAAGTAGCGTGATTCCCGAAATATAACTGCAAGTTAAATCAAATACACACTGAGGTAAAAGTTCAGTATAACAGATACCTAACTCCGGGTCAAGCTGGACACCGAACTTTTCCGATTCAAGTAACTGAAGTTTTCAGTTACAGAAGCCGAACTTAGCATCCTACAATTTGAAACTTTGGTTATCTGAACCGAAGTTCAACATCCGTTACCAAGCTTTTTCCCGCGCACACAATAATTAACTAACCATGAATAAAAAAATTATTAATATTGTCGTTTACTGACTTTTTCAAGTCACAAGAAATTAGATTTATTGATAATGGGATTTTTTATGTGTTTTCCCTTGTTTCTTTTGTGTGCCCCATCTAAATCTAGCAATGCCAAGCAGCAAAGGTCCGAAGATACAATTTCATGGTAAAAATTGTCATTTAATTTTATTAAAATTCAAAAATTCAATATTTTCATTTAAGAGTGCAGGGATTTTGCTCTTGCTTTCAAAGATGTTCAGGGCTTTTGATCTCGCGTTGCCACTTTTACGAAATATTGAAAAAGAAAAGCAGGGTGTGTACCTGGCAATGAGAGACATTGAGATTGGGAAAATTGGCATCGTTCTCCCACCCATCAAATATTCTGAGGTTGTGTCTTGTTTCTTCTTGCTGAAAAAGGCGAAATAGACCCCGATCGCCGAGGACAGGAGCAGCATCCCTCCGAACACGCACCAGTCAAACCAATCCAAATATTTCACCCCACTCATTGTTTGGCGTTGCTTTTAGAGCTTCTCCCTAAAAATTTCACCTTTACTTGGAGTCAATATTACCCGATAAAAATATGTTCTGTCTCACTCAGCTTGATAGATTATTCATTATAATGACAATTTCTGAAATTGATTCTTTGCTCTAGAATTTCACAGCAGTTATAATGATTTACTTAAAAATTAGATGGAAAAAATTAGAACATATTAGGTAAAGGTTTGAAATGAAAAATGGAAATGAGGGACTTGTAGTTCATTACATGACCATATCTAGCTATCACTATAATCGAATCTTTAAAAATATGCCACTGAATATTATGCTATACTCTATGTTCATGCCACATACGGTTGAAAGAGGGGGACACAAATATAATGTAAATGATTTTTTACCACTACACCTGATTTTGAGTGTCGCACTGCTCAATGCAACACTGTAGTTGATGAAAATCAAAATTTTGTAGACGAAGACAATCAATACTTCTTTAAGTAATTTTTATATAGTGAAAAGTGGTAGTAAAATATGATTTTTTGAAAGTCATTCGATTCAGAAAACAACGCAGTCACGAGAAAATAATACAAAATTCAATAATGAAGAATTGCGGACGGACGTACAAATAATTCATATGATTTTTAAGTCATCGCTGAGCTGTGTCACTAAAGGGTGGTAATGTCTATGTGAGTGTTCTAAATAAACATAAATGTTAAAACACATAAATAGATTCAATAAAAATTAAAATAGCACACTATTCGATGAGTTTGTTACGATAAAACATGAAAATTGGGGCTTAAAAGTACTGGTGAAATTATAAAGTTCACTGGGTGAAAGTGACAAGTGTAAAAAGAAAGGCGTGAGAGACGTCGCTCGATGATTTTGAGAACACGAATTTCATGGCGATCAAAATCCGCGTTAGAGATCGGCGTGGAAGGCAACGTGCTACTGAAACTTAAGATGAGCCTTTGAGATGGTCGGCAAGAAAAAGCATGGGTGCCGAGTGAAATAGAAATTAGCAATATGGTCACACGATCACACGGTGCCTAAAATATGCGGGGACTCTATGTCAAATTCAAAACCACCCTGAGAAAAACTCATTCCTTTAATTCAGAATAAAATTACAAGTTTAAACGTTAGCATGTAAGTTCACCTTTTAAAGAGTTTTGCTTCTTTCAAGTAGAGTACACTTTTAGACCCATCTAGCATTTCCAAATGATAACTTTTTCAGTGAATTATTTGAATGTATTATTATTATTATTATTGAATATTATTGATAGCTCCGTAGAGCGTATTGCAGCAACAATATTTGAAGGCGTTTAAGTGCGTCACAGCAGTCTCCGTATTTTGGAACTTCAAAGGTGAGGACTTTGGATAAAATCCTGAAACTGATGAACGGACTTGACCGATCTTGTACTCAAAACGCAGTAAAATATCTTCTTCTCAGATTTTTTTTTTATTTCATTTAATTTTTTTTTACTTTATCTCGTTTTAATCTGTAAAACTGTTTTTTTTTGTATTTTTTTGTACTTTGTTACACACGATGGATTGACTAAAATTAATTCCATCCATGAATCTACCTAATTAAATTGAAGATTGTTAAACCACTTGAATTTTTAGATGTCTATGCGGAAAAACAGTTCCACTCTAATGATTAGTATATTTTACCGGTCGGCTGTGAAGTTTGAATGCACCGTTGTTCGTAGTACGTGCCACTTAATATTTTTCTCCACTTACTTTCATTATTTTGACTCCTTTTCCCCTCCTCCAATCCTACCTCATACATTACTTCGATATATCCAGCTTGAGGATTTCACCTAATCCAAAAAATGGGAAAAATTAAAGCACCATTTGTCAACCATGCGAGAGTTTCTAACTCCGGATATCTAAATTAAAGTCAAAGAAATACGGTTATCCAACGAGTAGCCGAGGGCCTTAATCAAGTCCAATAACGTGTCAGTCCGTCCACACTCTAGAATTGCACTTCTCGTAAATCGGGGTCCCAAAATAGGCACACTGAATGGTCACGTTTCAGTTAAACCTACATATTCACTTTGATCTACACCCAGTCTTAAATTTATTGATCCGCGACTCCAACAGCTGGAGTCGCGGATGGTGAGACAGCCTCCTTCAATTTGGGGAAAAAACCGCAGGCTTTTTTCAAACTAGGGAAAGTGTGACCTTGAAAAATTAAAACAATTCTCATTGCGATTGGCTCGAGCGACGTGTGCTATGTTTCAAATTGACTATTGAACAAGAGGTCTTCTGGTCTCGGGCTCAAAAATTGTTGAGAACGAATAGATTTGAGGGGCTTGGAATATATGGCGCAAAAGTGCAGTTTTTATTATTTCGAAAAAAAAAAAGAGTTTAAAGTTCTGCATTTTACTCAGACCTACAAAGTGCTTCGAATACCTTCAACATTTTCAAGTGTTTATCTTACGCCTTTATGAACGTCTAATGAAATTTTCAGCTATGTTGAGCTAAATGAAGGATAGCAGTTGGGCTTAAAGTGACGGTGGGTCGCGGTCACACTTATCCCGCATCCCTTCTAAACGAAAAATGCACTTATCCCATTCGCTGTTTTTTCCGCGTCAAATGACTTCAAAACATAATCGCTTGGTATTCCGATGGACCTTACCTTCAACTACCAAAAAACACGCACAACTCAATTTTGACCACAGACAGCCTTCTAAGCACACGATTTTATTTTTATTTTCATCCCTACTTTTTCAACACGAAAAAACACAAAATGGTGCGGATTTATGTTTCTCTTTCGCCTCTTATCTAATCTCTTCCTGTTTTTATCTACTGCACTTTTAGTGAGGTCTAGTCGTTTTCTTGTATCTGACCTTTTGTAATACCTACAAGCATAACGAGCAATGACACGCAGCTGGGCTCTAATCTCTAGTCTCGAATTTCTAAAAATATATACTTATGCGCCTTGTCTTCCAGGCCCCTTATTTGAAAGTTAATTGCTAACTTAAACTTAAACTTGCAGTAATTTGAAGATATGATGAGAGGCAGATGATGAGGTGCAGAGTACCTAGAGGGTGAACCAATCAGCATTCTGGCCTTGACGGACTGCATAGCTTCAGGAATGGATGTAGGTATGATTTGTGGTCCCACAGGCGCAGTTAGTGGCAGGGCTGGATTTTCCTACTTGCCGCTTATGAGCCGCCTGTAGGTATTTTGCCGCCCCCTTCTCATTCGTTTTGAAACATCAATAAAAACCACCAAGTGAACGTGCCAGCGGGGGAGGGGTGCATAAGACGCGTTCACTCGTGTTGAACACATTTTTTGGGAAAGCCCTGTCAACACTACTAGCAAAAGGTCACGGAACTTTGCGCGAAAGTCAAGTTTCGTAAACCTATCTCTAATGGACAAGGCCTTCCATTCATCAGGAATGAACGAAAAAATTATGAAAGAACACACACAAAATTTGTTTTAATGATTTTAACTTTCGCTGCCGCGCCGCGCCGACCGCACCGTGTTTGCCGCAACGCGTGAAGTATTCACGCAGTCTTGTAGGCGCTATGCGTTTCACACTGACCGCACTGTGTTTGGCGCAATGCGTGAAGTATTCATGCATTCTTGTAGGCGCTATCCGTTTCACGCTGCTGACCACAATAACTGTGACCGCACTGTGTTTGATGCAATGCGCGAAGTATTCGTGCAGTCTTGTAGGCGCTAATATGTGTTACATGCCGATTGCCGCGCCGAGGGCTTCTCCTTTTCATCTCAAGTCCTCGTTATCATTGCTCTCCGCGCCGCGTCGCTCCAAGCGTAATTGCGTGTTTGGTTTCTCTCTTAACTCGACTAATTAAAAGTGCTGTCTTTGGTATCATCGAAAGACGACAAAATTAGAAATTACTATACTCTCGGGAAATAAGAGGTTTTGTCGCCTTTACTCGTTTATAATTTTTTTTCTGAATCCGATTTTTTTACACCTACATTTAAAAAAAATCGCAATATTTGCCGCCCCCTAAATTTTCCGCCATGGACCGCGGTCCATGTGGCTACCCCCTTCATCCGGCCCTGGTTAGTGGTGTGGTTCTACTTCATGTGCAGTGTGCACCTCCTCGAGGAAGATAATCTAGTGGTGAACTGTCCCTGGTTGAGATGGAAAATTTCATGAAAAATTAGAATTTGAAATTTCAAGGATGAAATTTCACGTGAAATTTTAATAATTTGAAATTTCCAGCTGCTTTTTATGAAATCTCAGAGACTTGTTGAAACTTTAATGGAAAAATTACGTGAACTTTCGAGAGCGATCTGAGCCCTGGATGGTGGAGAGGAAGTTGCAGGATCCTTCTCAGAGAAAATGTTGACATTTTTAGATCCGTTGAACGCATTTTGAAGCATTTTTCGGCGCACAATATTAGGAAAACTAAGGGAGGCGAGCCAAGTTTAAACTTAACTGTAAATACCCGACTTGACTGTAACCCTATGAGGAACAGGGCATAATGACGGTGTAAGTCCGCAGTCACATAATATCTCGTTTGCGGTGTCTGAAAATCTCCGCCTCTATGTTATTTTTTTAAAGGAGAACTAATTGACATTATTCCTTGAAGTTTATGCAGAATTTTCATCGCAGAGAGAAAGAAAGTCATGGCAGTTTTAAAGAATTGCTGATGAGTATAGTTTTCCGTTTAAAAAATAAAGTATGACAGGAAGTCTGCGACGTCGCAAACCGAGTTAAGTGATTGCCGACTTACACCGTCGATAAACACTTTGTCCGAAAAAAAAATAAAAAGTTTATTTTGAGGGGAAACGAAAAAAAAAAACAACCCGAAAGTGAGGGCTTTTGGTGCGCATCAAGTGCGCCTACCACTAGAAACAATAACTCCCGGAAATTTCCTATAAATAGTTTTGAATGAGAGAGGGAAATTTGCAGAAATTTGCAGTTTCTCGGCAGTAGCAATTGAGATGTGAAAGTTTTGTATTGTAGAACTTTTAGTCAAATTTTCAAAAGAGAACTAACGAGAGAAAAATTATGTTATCTCCATACTGCACAGACAGTATCAAAATTATGGTAAAAAATCAACGAATAAATCCACGGGGGAAAAAACATGATAGAAGGAAAGGAAAAAAGAAAGAAAATGGTTTATCATATCAATACTATCCCGTGACATGTCTCATGAAATTTCACTCTTCTCATTTAATTTTCCCATCAGGCAATCTCGATTTGTCTCCTTTTTTCCATTTTTTTTTTTTTTTTTTTTGAACAGTTTTCATTTCGTGATATTTGCTGAAGGTGCGTGAATTCTTATTTGTTAAACTTTTACCTCGCCAATCCTCTAATACAGTACCCCAACTCGAAATTCTCATCGCGGCATCGCATGCACCTGTCGTGGTGCAAGCGCAAATTTAAATTTTCGCGCTACTTCGCCTGTGGCGCATGCGCGGTTAGTTTTGTTTTTGTTTACCTAGTACTTCACTTTTTAGGTTATGCATGAAAATGATAATGTATGTGGAGTGAACAGATTGGCCCAGATATTCCGGACCGAATTTCAAGTTCTTTTACGTTTTTTCTGCCTTAGGATTTTGTGAAGGATCAAGTGAAATCTCCAGTCGTTTACCGTTTTTCATTACTGTAAAAATGAAGTCCACACTACCGCCCAAATGTTTTCAATTAGCTGTGAATGAGTTTACTAGTCACTTGTTGGAGAAACGACTACTATTTTTTAAAGTCTCACCAGCTATTAATATGGGCAATTTTTGCTGAAACTATCATCTCTTAAAAAAATGGTTTCAACCTTGAAGAAAGATAACGAATCAATATGCCTTTCAGGTAGCAAGTCATGTGTTACAGATTCAGAGCACAAGCCTCCGCAAAAACTGACTGTATTCTTCCGGGAAAGTAGGAGCTTGACTCTTTACTGGTTTCTGGCTTTTTTTAGGATTCTACTGACTTTCATCCCGCAAAAAGGCTACATCCATCCTGATGAATTTTTTCAGACTACTGAAGTGGTTGCAGGTAACTTTCGTATTTTATGATGTTGAGAATGAAGAAATAAGTTGCATCTTTCGTTAACATCTTTCATACCTTTTCTACTATTCTCATTCGATCAAGGGTTTGAGGATACTCGAAAGGCACTTTGACTGAAAGATCAATCTGTCACCACACTCAACTTTCTGTCAAGTTAGCACTTAGCATACTTTGGATTGAAAGGTATGAGATTTAGAATAAAATCTTTCCTCTGAGATTAACTTCAGTAACATTTTCTAAAGAGGAAAGCTGCAAAAAATGCTCCAATGCCGATGTCATCTTGTACTTAGACATTGAAAATTGATAAAATAATGTTATCACATGGCATTTTTATTGGTCCAACTTTATCTAGAATCACATAGATCCAACCTTCTTTTAGAATTTTACTAACCCATTTGCCTTATTTGACGAGTATACTTGTCAGCGCGCGCCTGGGACATAGCTTAGTTGACGAGTTAATACACGCCATCTGTCAGCGTTGCTAAGCGATTGTGTCGGTCTAGTTTTCCCGTTTTCCAACAGATGGCGTCTCAAGCGTAGCAACGCCGACAGATGGTGCAAGTTAACTCCTAGTCTGCTGCTGACAAGTATACTCGTCATATGAGGCGAATGGGTTAATTGATTAAAGGAGCGTTGTCCAAATAAACTGCTTGGGACTGTTTGGAAATAGGACTACCTGATACCAAACATTTAGGATCGTTAGACTTTGGTGGACTCAATGGATGACTTTATTTTTACATATGAATGTGTAAAATTTCTACTCTATGCTTAATGGTCTGAAGAAGGTGATATATATCTTGTTGCGCATGCTGTTAGCATATCCTTTTTACTTTGTCAGCCGGAATAAATTTAATCCTCTTACCTTTATTCTTTCAGGAGATATTCTCAGCATTGAAGCTCAGATTCCATGGGAATTCAACTCAACGTTTCCTGTCAGAAATGTAGTTCTCCCGTATCTTGTGGTTGGCACTCCAATCTGGTTTTGGCAGTTGTTCCAAAATCTAGATTTAATTAGACCGATTTCCACGTACACACTGCTTGTTTTACCACGTCTAGTTTGCTGCCTAATATCATTTATTAATGACTATTCTTTGTACAGGTGAGGAGCATGTATTTCTAGTCTCATTACTTGAGGAGCAGAGATAAAACAATTTATTGTTTTATGTAGGTATATGAAGTCCCCTTTATATTCACACGAGAAAAGGAAACCCTCCAAATAGCTAAGTCAAAGCCAAAAATTGGTTTTATGAACTGAAATTCCCTCGAGATCTATTTATTTGAATCGCTGAAGATCAAAAGCTGCGATCTCCATCCTGACATTTTGGCTGAAGTTATAATGTTTAAAGAGGAGATATCAATAAGACTTTTTGTGTAAAATACGGTCATAATTTTCTTGCTAACATGTAGAAAATTCTTTTGAGGCAAACAGAAACTCACCCGCTCTCTTTATAATAAATTAAAATGATTCCTAAATTTTTAGTCAGTGCAATGTAGGTTTTAATCCTAGACGCCTCATTTATGAAACATGTTCCAATGACTTTTTGTCCTTGTTATTATTGGAGGTTCTCATGAGGCTTTCATAGTGACGTCTTTTGTGTATACTTTAGCTGGAAAAAGGGTAACTGTACCTCAGTAAGTTTCATTGTGAAAAAATCAAAAGAAATAACATCTTTATCTCCCTTGAAGTGATTTTATCGCAAAAATCTTTTACTTCTGCTGTTTGCCGGACATTTTTCACGATCATAAGTCCAAATAATATTTATTCATTTATTTTTTCCAGAATATGCCTTCTTGAAGATGAAGAATATCGCACTCGGTTATTAGCCTTTGCTAGCTCCTACGTCATAATTATCTATGCCACAAGAACATTTACTAATGCTTTTGAATTGGCGCTTGTGTCATTGATGCTGTATGTAGTCTCTGACTGTATCATCTGCTCTAACAAGGTAAATATCCTTAAGAATCAACAGCTGTACTTTGAATTTAATAACTCCTAGAGTAGTATTTTTGCTTTCCCTCCTAAAATTAAGAAGTTTTTGGTGATCCTAATGAAATTCTTAAAATGGACCCCACAAGCAACAATGGGTCACTAGACAAGGTACAAATTAAAATCCTCTATTCATGTTATTTCTCCTAAACTGCATGTTAAACATGATTTTCAGGAAATTTGAGGATTTGAGGATTTTCAGGAACAACAGGAAATTTGGAAATCCAGTTCTTGAGAAGATATAAGTGTTTATTATTGACATCAGTGAAATGTTGGAAATTCCTGAAAAATGAAAAATGAAATTCAGAAAATGCTGTTCCATTTGATCTGTTTCAAGTATATATATGAATAAGGTGTGTATGAGTTGGTTTTTCAGATGTGTAACAAAGTTCTACAAGAACGCCTACAGTTTTTTTTTTTGCTGAAATCGTAGATCTGTTAATCCTTTAGCACTGATTTCATGTCAACCCTCATCAGTTTCAGATTCATCATTAAAAATTAATATCATGCCTTTGTATATCAGAGATCCTTATTTACCTACCCAAGGAAAAAGAAAGTCTGCTAATGCTTCTTCTGAAGTTTGTAAAATCTGTACTATTTCAATCGCCTTTTCTTTCTGAATTTAGCTAATATTAAAAAAATTCTCTGCTTTTTGCTTCGTAGTGATTGATTATTTTTAGTTTTTTCATTTTCTTTACGAAAGTATTATTTTATTTTCCAGGTTTTGAAAGAGCAAGAAGAAATTGACAAGCAATATTCAACTGCCAAAGACATTAGACTGAGAGTAGAGCTCAGTCGTCGTAGAAAAAGGCTGCCCTCTCACTCACTGTCCCATTGCTTTACTATTGCAACTATCACTGTAATAGGAGTTTTCAACCGTCCAACATTCATTGGTTTTGCTTTTCCACCAATATTCTTCTGGCTTCAAAGAGGCCTTAACTCACTCGGATTTTCTCATTTCCACTTGCGGCTCTTTTTACTAGTGATCTCAAGTTTACCAGCCTTATTAATTTTTATTTTTGTTGATTCTATCTATTATGGTACGTTGAACACCTTAGACTTCGTCAAAAATGGACTCATGTTGCGGCAGTTTGTCGTGACACCATTTAATTTTATCCTGTATAACATAGACTCATCCAATTTATCAAATCATGGACTGCATCCCCGATTCACTCATCTGCTTGTCAATGTTCCTCTTCTATATGGAATTTTGGGCGCAACAACTCTGTTCTCTCTCCTCAACATATTTAAAAGGTATTATTTTGAGTGAAACTATTTCTTTAAGAAAGAAGAAAAAAAAGGAAAAGAAAGTGTCGCATCAGCTTTAGATTAGTGCCATACCTATTTTTAAGAGGAAAACAATTAAAAATTTTTGGTAGGCCATGCCAATTTATTGTGCATAGTTCAATGTCTCTTCCATTACTATAGTTCGCTTGCAATTTAATCTTTTTGTGAGAGTTGAGTTTTTGATGCAAAAAATATTGTCTACCCTAGCATTTTCTCACCCTAAAGAGAAACTATAGCTTAAATCTGAGCTGAGGTTTGAAGAATCCGTTAGTATAATTTAATTTTACCCTCCTTTTTTTTCTTCTTTTTTCATTTTCTTACAATGAATGACCTTTGAAGAAAATCAAAGAATCCATCTCGCCAAAAGCAACTCTTTCATGATTTTTAAAGCTGGACCATAGTTTCAAATATTCAACAGTCTTTCAATTGTACCAAAGAATGAACGGATTTTGTGTTGCACATCTCATGTCTAATTATAGCCATATTATAGCTGTCAAATCTCATAAAATTGTTGAGTTTCAATAGTGCGGTAACAAACATGCATTCTTGTCATCTTTCAATAAATTCAAGGTAATTGACATCAAATCCAGGAATGAAATCCGTATTGATAATTTCTAAATCCTCCATCCTTGTCTTAAAATGATGATGGAAGACTTTATCTTAAGCATTTTCACTATTTTAAAGGTATTTTTTATTGTCTTAACCATTTTTGAGGGAGTGTAATCAAGCAGTTTGATTTTTGTTGCAGTATCTTGACAAGGAAGTGGCACCATCTACCCCGGACAGACAATGTTTATGGTTTGATGCTGGCTTCAATATTGGTTCCAGTAGGCTTGCTCTCAATTTTTCCGCACCAAGAGCCGAGGTTTCTGCTTCCAGTTACAGTTCCTATAGTATTTTTGTATTCTTTCTGTATTCAAGAAAGGAGAAACGTATACGTCTCTGATGGAAGTGGACGCTTACGGCGTTTCAAAAATATCAAAGAGAAGAAGAATATCAGACAGATGTTCCGAGCGTCATGGTTCCTCTTCAACGCATGTTTCATTCTCTTTTACGGGTTCGTTCATCAGGGAGGCATTTATCCTCTGTTAGATCATCTGTCAAAGGAAGTGAAATCTAAGCCAAGACTTACTCACATTCATCTCGTTACCAGTCATATTTACTCATTGCCAGTATCGTTTCTTCAAATTGAAAGCTCAAAGAAGATCCATCAGTTGGAGAACAGCAAGCTAAGGTTCGTACAAGTTGAAATGATTTCAAATGTGTGATGTTTTTAATTCAAAGGAGATTAACTAAAAATTGCAGTATTCACATGTATCAGATGCATAGTGATGCTGAGTTTATTTCATCCCCCTTTCCTACTTTTAAAGTGCATTCTTGTAGCATTTTAGGGCGGACTTTCCTCGAAATTTAATTTAGATCAATATTTTCTGGTTCTGTGGATTGGAATAATATTTTGCATGAGGTTTTGAAAGCATGTGTGATGTGTTGAGTTCATCCCCAAAATTTCAGCTCAGCTTTATGATTTATTTACACAGAATCCATATTGCAATTTTAGTGACTCCTAAATGTTCTATGTATGCAATTCTCAGAGGATTAAATGATTTTGCGACTGCATTTATGATTAAAAAGCATTAGGAAATGCATGTTGTTTATTTTGCTTAGTTGTCAGATTTACCTTGTCAATCAAGCTGTGAATTGATTTTCTTTACACTTTATTATTTTTTTTTCAAGCTCTGTTTCTCAGTTAGATCTCTCCATGATACTGAAATAGGTCAAACCATGACAATTTGTCATCAATAATAGGAGGTTAATATTTGGTTTTAGTGTCTGATGTTTTTTCAGAGATTGCACAGACTTTGCTATTCCAAAGAGAGCCACATGAAAACGGTCCAACAAAATTTCTGATTTGAAAGTATTCACAGCCGTGGGCTCCAGGCTCCGGCCAAGCAGTTTGACTTTACTTTACCCTTTAACGTTCGTCTTGTGATCTAATCACATGATGTTTCTCATCTTTTTATTCTAAACGGAAGTATAGATAAAGGAAATCACTGAAGTACCCTCTTGAATTTAGTAAACGAAACATGCATGGTTGATAGTTGCCTACATAGCAAAGAAAATTCATAATGGAGAAAAAAAAAAAAAAGTAGGATGGATTATGGAATCTGGCTGTGGCAGATGTGTTTTTCTGAGAGAGAGAATGCAGCCTGCCTCTCAATAGTGGAGTAAACAAAATATTGCGCAGTAGCTGCTCCTTTGTTGTTTTTACTCAAGATGTTAATCAAAACAAGATTATGCAACCGAATAAACATAAATTGAGATAAATCGTCATCATTCAACCTACGCTCCAGAAGATACCAGCTTCTTCAAGAAGAAAATTTTTACTGAGGCTGGAACACTTTTTAAAGAGGTTATCTGTGATGTAGTAATAGTAAGATAATCGTAAAAAAGATTAAAGGGATTAGGATCAAGTTAGCTGTTTATGCTATGCAACAAATTAAATGGTGACGTAAGCCCTGGCTAATTGTAAGCTTTTTCATACTTTCTGCATAATATGATGCAGTAAAAAAAATTAAAATTTTTTAGGAGTTTACTTCGTACTCTGCAGAAAATTTACTGAAATTTGCAAGAAATTCCACTCAACCCCTTTCATGTAGAAAATGAAACAGTCCCATCAAATTTGCCAATAGTTGATGTGGCTTGGTTCCTTTCTGCTTAATACGGTCCTATCGCTGGTTTAGTATCACAGGATTTCATCTAGACCTTACTTTCCTTTGATCTTTGCAGATTATCCCAATTTTTAAAAGCTTTTTACAGAAACTCAGCAATTTTTTTTAAAATGATTTTTCCCTGAGTCTCAGCATCTAGTTTTTCAATGTTATAATTATGGCGCTTATAATTTGGTTTGGTGCAATGTTCATAGTGGTATTCGTTTATAAGAATAGGCCCAGCTATGCCATGGCACATCCGCAAATTTGAGCGCTAAATCGGCCTGATTTATTGATGAAAACTAACTAACTAACTCGCTGCTTCTATAGCCCTTCCTTGCGCTCTGTGTCACCCAACTGCCACTACTAGCGATCCCACCAGAGCTCCTTCCGCCAAAAATACATGGAAAATACTTATGAAAAACGTAATATTTCTTAAAGTTAAAATTTTACTGCTGTAAACATTGACGTTTCCACTCTCATTTATTTTAAACGCGTTCACAGTATATTCTCCAGAGCACCGAAGAGAGTTCTGATAAACCCCAGACTTTCACCATCTGGCGCATCCACAAAAGATCCTTTTGCTTATGAAAATCCATACTCTTTCGCGAAGAATTCATCGTATTAGAGAGTTGACTTTGTCGAAGAGAAGAGGGAGGAGAGACAAGAGACATTCTCATCCTTATGCATAGTTGTGTGGGTGGAAGAGGAAGCTTAAAGTGACTATGATGTAAGATGATGTAACAGGTTGCATGATGATTGTGCATGACCTCTTTGTTGCTGTCACTTTCGTCTTTGAAAGCGCAGTTGAACTTTGATCGTTTGTGTTTTGTCTCAAAATCCTCTATTTAAGCACCACTTGAGACATATTTTACGAGAGAAGCACCTGTCACCCGGGGAATAGAGAAATTGAGGCAAAATCTCGGATTGCAATAAAAAATAAAAAGTGTTATCAGACAGGAGGGGGCTGTTAGTTGGATATTATTTTTACTTATCAGTTATGTATCCTATTTTTGTTTCCACAACTCGAGTACCCTACTAAAAATATTCTTTAAAAAAGCTGAGGCAAATAACCTTTCAAAAATAAGGGATGTAGGTAGTTGAAAAACTTTCAAATTTGATCAATTTCAGTTGGCCATCAGAAGACAAAAAGAAAACAATCTTACTGAATAGGAATACACACATGTAATTGTAAAAGCTGTTTTACTTCCACTTTCTTAGTTCTTTTTAGGTACTTTGTATTGGTTTTAAAGTAGCACTGTCAATAAAAAGAAGTAAAGATGAAAGGCTTTTCTTTAATGTCTAAAACAAAAATGGTTTCTTTGAAAATTTGCCCTTAAGGATTGTGGATCCTAAGGTCTACCCCTATGGACTCTGGTTTTATCTCGGAAATCATTAAAATTTGAATTAACTGAGCTATAGTCTGCAATTATGAAGTATTTTTTCGGGCTTATCCATAAAAGCACCTTCTATTGAAGGGAACAAATGGCTCATAAGCTGTTCTTAAAATTTGCCGGAAACAGTAGTTCTCAATTGCAAAATGTGGTCCAACGGTCCCTATGAAACTCTGAGAAAAGCAGTTGAGGCCTCTGTAATAGTTTCGCATCCATCATTTTATCAATTTTATCTTCCCGCCACAAATACGTTTTCGAAGCACCTAGTCGTCGAAAATCAAGAGTTAAGGAACTAATTGAGAGGTTCTTGTGAATGCTTCGTGATTTTTACCATCATACCATTGATCAGTGATAAAGTCGTGTACTTGAAATGTTTTTAGCATCTCTTGGTTTGCAGTATGTACACAGTTTCATACTTAGTTGCTATCTAAAACCTAACTTGGAAGAGTAAACTCTTGCAACTTTGTTAAAATTGACGTCTGTCTTTTTTATCGTATATCAAGCTTCATTTTTTGCCTTCTTTTTTTCTTTGTATAAAAAGGGGGAAAGAATCTTACCTCTTCAATTTTGCCTCCTTCACTCACCCATAACCGCAAGTGTGGGCAAAGCATTTTTTGTGGGTGTGTCTGCTCGGAAAAGTCCTGAGTTGGCCCGGGAGCTCTAATGAGTACCACCCCTTGCCTCATTGCGATAGTGAATGAAGTCCCTGAGGCCTCCTCTACAAGTTTTGAACACATTTCATCTTAGTCTTTAAAATCCCAAACAAAGATTATTTTTTTAAGGAAACACTTTGCTCAGATTATTGACCACTTTATTCATTTTTCATAAGGAAATTTCTAATTGTTTATATTCATTTTTTTCCTTTAAATTTTCTTATTATTTTTTAAAACTATAAATGATAACATAACATACGAAACATATTTGATGTAAATGAAAGTGTATTTATTGAAGTTCAAAACCATACAATTTTGGTCCAGAGAAATAGTGATCTGAGGAAAAATAAAACATGTTAGTTTCTCTGAAATGAATTTGCATCTGTGACAGGTCCATTTTGAATGGAGCTCAAAATTTTTGGGTGTGCCTTAGCGCACCTTGGCCTACCTACTCTTGCGAATGCCTCTACCTATAACTCATTCAACTTTGAAATTTATAAGGTTTTTTTGATAATTTTGTTTATTTGTTGCAGGTATGTCAAAACAAAAGATTTTCATTTGTACGAACTTGGCTCGATTGAAAAAGCTGAAGTTCCATATGTATTAGAGAGCATCATAATGAAGGCTGAGTCAGAGAAAGCAAAGAAGCACTTTAAATACAAAGTATATTATTCTTTACCATATAGTAAATTACACGAATTGAATACAATTTTGCATGGCCACAATCTGACATTTACTATAGATTTTTCAAGTTCTTTTCATATTTCAACTGAGGCAATGCCTCAATTGAAAACAAACCATAAATGTTTGACATTTCCAAAAGTGCAGACATGGCTTCATTCATTCAAACATGGCGTGCTTAACTCCAGTCTGTCAGAAAATGTTTTCTCTTACTTTATGGATAATGTTTATGAGTGTTACTCTGTGATTCAAGACTTGAATAAGCAGTTTGGGCTGGTTCTGATTCAAGTTTCAAAGCACTTACACGCGTAAGAGTCTTATAGTGAAAAAGAAATTAGCTATATTTTCCAGAGAGGGATTTAAGTAAATTTGAGTTTTCTTAGTCACAAACGAACTGATAGTATATCATGTGCAGAGCTAATTTAATGAATTCCTACCCACAAATCATGCCAAATTTACCAATTCACTTGAAAGTTATACCCATTTTTTCAGGAAAATTATTTCATCCTGTGGTTGATGTTTCAAATTTTTAAAAATTATTATTTTTGCCAGTAAAAATAGCAAATTTAACATCTTTAGCTGCGGCCCCATTGATCCATTTCCCCTTAAAGACTTTTCCCCTTGGCGTCCTTCTCTGATCGTTTGTTTCATGTTCAGAAGCAAACTGTTCCTTTAATTTTTTCTGCAGCCTTGTCTTATTTGGTACTATCTATATATTTAAATTACAAATCTTTCCCGGTATTTCTCAGGCTCAAGTTTCCTTTTCAATACAAAGCTTTTGTTGAGTACATCTGGGAGGTGCTGTTTCTTGGAGACCTCTGAAATAGGATCAAATTTTGGGAACGAATCAATGGAAGATATTTTTTTAATTTCCATCAACTTATTTTTCCCATATTTTTTAGGGGAGGTTTCGTGAAGACTAATTTTTACTTAAAAAATTGACGCATCCCCTCCTCTGCAGTACTACTACTATGTATCCAAATATTCTCGGCAGGACCCCCTCCCTTCCCCCATAATGTTTTTCATTTTTCTTAATATTTTATTAGGCACCGATCTTGAAAACTTCTGTCCAGCTTTGATATGCTTTCCTAAAGGATCAGACTTGCTAGCATTTTTCTACTGTTTTGTTATTATTGTTGTTATTTTTACTTTAATCTCTCATGATTTTTTTAGTTTTTTAAATATCGTTTATTGTAACTTTGTTTGCTTGTGTATTGTTTCTGTGAGTTTTGTTTGTTTAAACTGAGCCAATTTTGAATTTTTTTTATTCTGGATCATAAAAAGTTTCTCTGTAATAGTTCTAGTATTCCTCCATTTTGACACATTTCATTGGGCAGCTGTAATAATGTTCCATTTAACAAATTGCCTCAGGTTTTATTTTGGGCAGAAAACTGGATAGGAAAGTGAAAGTAACAAAGACTAATAGTTTTGTCACAGAAGTTCCTTACCGCCATATTGCATATTTTGGGTCATGTCGGTATTTTTCCTTGATTTTTATGATTAATTTTTTTTCTTTAAAAGTTAAAGACTGGATAAATTTTCACTTTTCCTTGAATTAGAAGACTGAGTTTGGCAAGCAACACAGAAGGAAAGTTTCAAATGAGTTTTGTTTTCATAGTAAATTATAGGATTTGAATGCAGGTTCAAATTTTTCTGTGCGGAAACTTAGCCGTAATCTGGCATTAAGTTACAAGAATCATCTTTATCAGAGGCCCTAGGTATTCTTTTGTTAATTCTGTGTAAGATGAATGTTAAAAGTGAAAATTAAGGGATCCTTTTTTTGATGAATAATGAATATGTTAGGTTCAATCATCTAAGTTAAGTCACTTTTATTTAAAGAAATGTGAATACCAAGTAGCAGCTGTGTGCACTTTTGAATGATATCAGTTTGCTTTGATTTTGTGTTCTTTTCAGGACATTTCACCAACTTTTCGCTGTCTTTTAATGCAAGTATTATCCACTAATTCTAGCTCAATTTTTCTTACTTACCCTTAATCCTTGCGTAGATATAAACGTACACACATCCTTTCGAATATTGATACCAAGTGTACCAGGTGAAGTTCACAAAATTGCGTAATTTTTCATTCGATGACCGCTAATTAGATATCAGAAGAATTCATACGCTTTCCTCATCTACGCTGTTTCACATTCCTTTTATTATGATTTTTTATCTAAATGATTTTTTAGTTCTCCAACCAACCTGCGTATGTAGGCATCATAAGTCTCACATTTTCAAGATACAGTTCTTTCTCTTTTTTTTGCAAAACGTGTAATTTGATGTCGTACTACATTTCAGATCATGAATTGTCACTTTTAAAAGTTTAATGTGTTGGTGAAAGCAGAATCTGAACTCAAGAAATGAACCGCTCATTTCAATAATTTTTGCTTTGCATGAGTTAGAGATTTAATCGTTTTGTATCTAGTCATAAATATATTTGTGACACAAATTTTTATAATAAACCGATTTTTTTAATTTGTTTAAAGCTTGCATTTTTTCATTTATATTTTGTCGTCGTAGTAGTTTGTAAAATGTATTTGGCTCCAAAGCATCTAATGGCTATAAGGCACCTGAAGTGCCCTCTCAATAATAATGTCAAGTAAACTTTGTTATTTCTTCATCCTATAAGCTTTGATAACTACCTTAAATTTCCACATTAATTTACTAAAAACTTTTAGTCATGTCCTTCCAGGTTGAACAATTTCAACGAATTGGTAGGCAAAATGACCTGACTTACATAAGCTTTGTGATTCAATTGTTTTTATAGGCAAAGCCTCTGAAAAACAAGACACAGATCAAGTAGAAAATTGGTAGAGAAAACGAGTACAATCATTAGGAAATCTAAGTATTCAATTGAATTTTTTGAGAAACTTAATTTATCTAATTTTTTTTAAAGTTAGTATCATTCTGTTAAATATCTATTTCCCAATAAAGAATTCTTTAAGAAATAATCAACACAATTTTTCTCTTCAAATCCTGGTTGATATCCGTGCTGGTCTTTTTTAAAGAATGGTTGTTAGGGGAAATTTTAACCCTTAGATGCCCAAGCGGGGTCAAATTGACCAGAGGCTCACTAAAAACCCGCGAGTTGTACATAAAAGCGCTAGATATTGGTCTACAAATACATCGTAAAAAAGGAATTGGGCATCAAACTGAAAAAAAGAAGAAAAAACCGAGAGTCAGGGTAATTTTTGACAACTACCTCTAAAAGTCCTAAGCCGGGTCAAATTAACTCAAATATTTTTTTTGGGGGAGTTTTGAGGCTGGTGCATTTGAAACTTAGATGTAGGTCTACAAATACATCCTAAAAAGAATCGTACATTAAATTAAAAGAAAAAGAAAATATCGAGGGTCGACGATACAGCCGAAGATAGGAGAGACGCAATACAGCCTCATTTTCTTAATTTATTCCCGAATCTAAGCGATTGGCAGCCTAGAGGAGAGCATTGCGAGTTTACGCCTCGTGCCATCGCCCCTTCAATTTTGCAGATGCAACACGTCATACATCAAAAACGAATATTTGTGTATCTGCACTGTTATCAACGCGTGTTCAGGTGCTTTTTATTTTTGAAATTTCAGCAAAGTTAAGGTTATGCCTACTCAAAATATGCTATGATGTGCCCAAATCAGGAATCATTTTGAAAAAAGAAAGAAAGAAACAAGCATTCTTAACACACCAGTGTCGAAGAGCTCGCCCACATGAGGGTCTATAATAGCTGGAGATACATTGATTTTGAAAATTAACAGAAAATAATAGTACATATCTTGATTGGAAGGATATATACTTTTGGAAAAGGCAATATAGCACTTTAGGCTTACTCCGCAGTCTGGGATTTTGAAATTTTGAAAAATTGACTGAACATTTGGGTACTCCATCTAAATAAACTTGCTGATATCGAGTTACACCAAAATTGATCGAACAGAAACCGAGATAGTATTACGTACCAACCGGACCTACGAAGTGATAAAAATTCACGGAGAACTTCAAGAAAAACAATATGCTGGGTCCAATTGTAAAAATAACACATACAAATTAAATCCGGAACGTCGGAAGACATTTCATCTGTGCCGTAATAATTGAATATGCCCGAGTTTTATCAATCTGATCGGTCACAAAGTTCGGGAACCGCTCGAAACAGTCAGGTTGGGTTAAGTTAGGTCACGCAACTAAACTAACTCTCCGGCAAAGCTGGAAGTATCACTCGATTTGAAGGCGCCCCAGTCCTGAATTTTTACACGCTATTTTTAAAACTTCGATCAATAGAACTTTTTAGGCTCTGTATCTCTTTCGTGCAAAGGATAAATAGTAAGAACGTGACATCCAGACTTGACAATCACGTGACAAAACTCTAATATCCTGTTAAGAATATCTAAAATGTCGCGCTACAGAACCCTTAGCTGTAAATTAATTTGGAAACTTGGATATGACTTTCGATCGGTCAAACCCTACAATTTTTGCTCAAGACGTAATCAAATTGGACGTATTTATGCTAAAAGGAACTATATGCATAGGTTTTGCGTACGACATAGTTCCTTTTAGCATAAATATAGTTCAATTGTGTGGAGGTGCAGCGAACAATCGCGGAAGATCTTAATGCTACCCATGTCGACTGAAGCTATTTGCGTGCATGTGCTCTCTTACTCGCAAGATTGCATAGTAAAATTGCAAGTTGCTAAGATTATGAGCCCTTCATCTTATATCCGAGGGAATATTTTTGTATTCTCTTTGTTTTATGCACATGTTCGGGCACATGTGTGTGCACTCCAATATTTTCAAGACCCTTGATATTTTGGCCAGTTTCAACCGGAACGACTCTTCAAAACGGTTCAAATAAAACTGGATTAAGATTAGACCATGAAAAGGTCCTGAAGTGCAAGGAGAGAGTGGCTGCAATACCGCTGTAGAGAAAAAGATTTACCAATAAGGTGACATTTATCATGCTTGTCTCGTATGTTTTCTCGCAATCTAATGTCAGCCAATTTTTCACCACGTGATTTTATCATCATACTAGACGCAGCCCTTACTTTAGGAAGGGAAAGAGCAGAACATAATATAATTTTCTCCAGTATATTTTTTCTGTGCTACAGTTTTACCATCGCCCCAGGAAAATCATCTAGGAAAACCTAGGAAATCATACGCTCGTCTTTCAGCTCATGATGTTAAAGATTTCCTGTCGCTCCCCATTTTTTGAAAAAAAAAAAAAAAAAAAGTTCATCGTTTTTGTTCTAAATTCTGTGCCATTCTTCAGGACTGCTCTTTAAAAATTTCGCACTTATGCCAAAATTCGTTTTCCCACGGGAAAAAAATCCAATCAAAGCAGGACGCCGTATTAAAATACGTTAAAGGAAACGTTACGTATGCTTAAATGCCTAATATTTCACGACTTCAAGGGCCGGCAACGTTGTAACATATTTTAAAAAATTCATTTCTCGAGAAACTGACAACGTCTCGATAAAAATCAATTATGGTTCTTTTCATCAGCACAATGGATAACGGCGCGCTGAAATTAAGTTAAGATGTAAGAGAAATAATCAAAGCTTCAGTTAGTGTCGCGTTCTCGCGCTGAACGGGTACAAATCGATTTTCATTGCAACGCCTGGATGCAACTGTACGTGTTGCATACACACGAAAGTGAAGGCGTTTTGACTTCAGATACTGAATGGCTCACTAACGGCACCTAATGGAGCGAGTCAATGAGAGGAGTCGGACAAAATGTGGAAACATTATATCGACTGCATTTTGTAATTCGGAACTACAATTTCTGGCTCCGGATGAGCCAGGATAGTCAAAACGCCTTCATTTTCGCTAGTATGCAACACGGATCAGACATCCATGGAGCCCGAATAGTCTGTTGTATCCAGGCTCATAATGAAATTCGATTGGTATTAGTATCCGTCGCATGCGACACTAACCGAAGCTTTGAAAGTTTCTCTTGCATCTTAACTTGATTACAGCGTTGCCTATTGTACCAATAAAGTAAACTATTACTGATTCTTATTGCGACATTGTCAATTTTCTGAATAGTGCTTTAGTGACATTAGGGGATGCATCCACAAAAGTGATTGTTACCTACGCACAAATCGATGAAGAAAATCTCACCTCTTTGTATCAATAATAGGATCCGGCAATAATTTTAATATCTCGGAACACTGAAAATGGTTGCATTCACATCAATCAAATCGGCTCATTAATTGATGAATCAACATTGGATTTTTTGTGCACTTGCACTTGAATGGTACGATGGGAACTTCTGGATGTAACCGGTCAGCCAGTTCGTATCGATAAAAGAAATTATGAGTGGTTGCATTGCTATTCATTCCTTAGACTCGTTTTCAGGTGGTTTTCTGAGGGGCCCAGAGTCCTCAAATTAATCTCATGGGTAGTCATTAAAAAGCACATTCAAGTGTTGTTAACGCGGAAAATTATTTAATAATAGATGTCCACAAATATGATTCGGAAGTATCGGTAAAACGATTAAGGACTGTATTGAACGTCTTGGATTACATTTTTTTGTAATCAAGTTTTTGGTCCAAAACTCTTCGATCTATGCACGAAAATGGATGAAACATGCCTCAGCAAGTCTGCCTAGTTTTATTGTGGAGAGTTGGTTATCAATTCCAAAAGGGGCACTCAAATTGCCATATTTTCACCTTCCAAACGAGCAACATATTTTAAAATTTCGTATTTTTGTATAAATTTCATATTTTTAGAATTTTCCTAAAATATGTCAGCTAAGCTAAAGCTTTTGGACTCATACTTAAATCATGAACTATCTAATTCTCTTATCTTAATTAGATATACATAAAGTTCTTTATAATTTATTTGATTTCTGGCTTTTGGCTTTGTAGTAAATTTTCCACATATGGTGAGATCAGTTCGACCGCGATGGGTGCTTAATTGTTGCACGGAAATTTTTTTTCATTTTTTTTTAAAAAAATGCTATGGTTAAATTTTAATGATAAAGATAAGCACAAAAAACGCTTCAAAAATTTTTTTCATCCCTTCTCTAAAATACTGTAGGGGTAGGAAAAGTGGTAGAACTGTCATACCACCGCACACTCACCTTCCAGGTTTGTCATTGTGCGGTGGTATAATTGTGATACCACTTTGCTGACCACATTGGATTTTAATATATAGAGTACATTTGTATGTATGTATGATTTCAACTTTCTAATTTTAGTGATATCGATTATCACATATCGACGGTGAAACTACCAAACCACGTATCTCGTTTGCGGTGTTTAAAAATCTACGCTCACATTTTATTTTTTTGAAGTAGACCAAATCAATATCATTCCTTGAAATTTTCACGGAATTTTCTCCGCACAAAGAGGAAAAATCACAGAAATTTTCAAGACTGTATGTTAAGTAGTTTTTCATTTAAAAAATAAAGTATGACAGGAAGTCTGCGACGTCGCAAACCGAGATACGTGGTTTGGTAGTTTCACCGTCGATATATCATTTTTGGGTCAAGTATAGGTGGG